TCCCTCCTCCCTCCTCCCTCCTCCCTCCTCACTCCTCACTTCTCACTCCTCACTCCTCACTCCTCACTCCTACTGCTTCCTTCTGCGTTTCTCAAGCATCTCATGGTATACATTCAGGTCCGAAAACAGTCAAGGGAGTCCAGGGGTAAGCAGAGGAGGAGGAGGAGGAGGAGGAGGAGGAGGAGGAGGAGGAGGAGGATTAGGCCTGACAATGTCGCAGAAAGAAGGAGTGGGACGATGTGAAGAAACGGGTGATCGAAATCGGTGTCAAGAAAATCTGGTGAGTTCGGAGTTTCTGGGAAACAAATGAAAATATCAGGAGGGTAACGGAGAGGAAGGGGAGGGGCTAGAGGGATGGGGGAGTGAGGAGGGGCATGGAGGACGGGAGGGGAAGGAGTGGAAGGAAGGAGTGGGGAAACGGTTCTGAGTGACGCGGCAGTTGCGGCGATGAGCATGTGCTAATTCTCTATAGCAATGGATCGGTTGCATCGTAAGTCAAAGGGGATAAGAACGCCCTGTGATCTAGCCTTGCTGCTGCTCCTCCTGCTGCTGCTGCTCTTCATCCTTCTGATCCTCCTCCTCTTCGTCCTCCTCCTCCTCCTCCTCCTCCTGCCGCTGTTGCTGCTGTTCCTTTTCCTCCTCATTATCCTCCTCCTCTCGATCCTCCTCCTCGTCCTGTCCCCCCGATTTCCTTCTATCTTTTCTTGTCCTCGCACTGGTCTGTTTGCTTCTCAACCTCCTCCGAAAAACTTCTGGTACTATAAATCTCTTTACTCATGCACGTACATCAGGTGGGGTATGAATCGATTCGGACAGCTAGGACATCCATCCAACTCCCCCGCAAAGGTTCTCCTCCTCCTCCCTGCTCCGCTCCCCACTTCCCCCTTCCCCTCCCCTCCTCTCTGCCTTCCTCTCTCCTCCCCCCCACCCCTCTTCCCTCCTCTTCTCCTTCTCCTCACAGCACTGCAGGAACCCTCCCTCATCATGAGCGTCCAGCAGTACAGGATAGGAAGTATCTTCGCCGGCGCAAACTCTTCGGCAGCTGTGCTGGAGTAGGAGCAGCCCTAGGCATCCTCCTCCTTCTTGTCGTCGATAGTGAAGAAGTCGTTGGATGCGGACTATGAGTGGAAGAGTCAGTGTAAAGCGGCGAGCAGCACATCATGCTGAAGGCAAGTAGGAGGGGGGAAGAGGCGGACGAGGACGAGCAGGAGAAACCTGTCGCCGCTCTAGAGTCTGCTTGAGGCTGCTGTCGATGCCGGACAACCACCGCTGCTCCTGCTGGAGGGCGAGCAGCTCCTTCCTCAGCTGCGTCCTCCTGTGGTACAACTCGTTGCCTGCGACCTGTCAGGAGAGAGAGGAGAGGTCAAGCTCGGGGTTACCGATGTCCTTGTTCCTGAAGATGAGCAGGAGGGCGTTGAGAGACTGGAAGATCCTGATTTCATCCTATCTCAACCATTTCAGCACATCTTCGGCTTCGTCTGCGTCATGCCACATCACTTCACAACTCTCCTCTTCCTCCTGGCCTCCCTCCTTTCCTTTCCCACCACCATGTCAACGTCCTTCCATCTCCTCCTCTTCCTCCTCCTCGCATGTTCAACCTCGGACGCGAAAATCATGAAGACGAAGGCAAGTGGAGCGAAGAAGAACCACAGGAGCCCCGCGACGCGCCCGAAGCTCGACCAGCAGCATGCCGTGTAGATGACGTGGATGAGGGGGACGAACGCGCTGGCCATGAGCACCTTCCACGTCCCGATGACGCTCATCTTCTTCACCTTTCTTGCCTGGATGTCCGATACCACCCGCCCGATGAGCCCGCAGGGAGCGAGCGACAGGATCCAGGGGAAGATGGGCAGCGCGAGGGAGACGAGCGTGAGGACGCGCATGAGAATCGTCCAGCGGAGGACGCGGGCCTGCTGGGGGGAGAAGAGCCTCCCCTGGAACCTCTGAACCTGGTGGTCCCTCACCCGGTACTCCAGCAGCATCTTTCTGTACTCCGACGCCCCCCGCATAAGGGCCTCCACCCGCGGGTCGTTCTTGACCCGGTCAAACCCGACGGCGAACCCTTGCGTGAGCGCCACGTTGTCCGCCACGGACAGCCGCGTGCCCTGCGGCACGTAGATCCTCCTCAGCGTGCGGAAGAGATGCAGCGTCTCCACGTCCTTTGCCTGCACCGATGCAGTCAGCCAGTCCTCCTCCCCGGTGTACCCATCCATGGCATGACTCCTTCCTCCCTATCCCCCTCACTTTCCTCCCCTTCCGTGTGATGCAGTATGCTCTTTCCTTCTACTTCGCCCCCCTTCTCCCCGCACTCCTCTTGCCTCCTCCTCCTCCTCCCTCCCTCCCTCCCTCCCTCCCTCCCTCACTCCCTCCCAAACTCACCAAGAGGGTGCAGGAGCGAACACCGAGCATGACGAGCTCCATAACCTCCCTGTTCGCCTCCTGCTTGTCCTCCTTGCTCCCGTTCTTGTACTTCTCCACCAGCGTCTCGCTGATTTCGATGGCGTCGCCGAAGTCAACGCTCACCGTGCTCCTGAACTTGTGAGGGGCGAAGTAGTTCAGCCCGACGGGGATGATAGAGATCTTTAACGGTTGCTTCCCCTCGTACTTGGCCAGCGCCCCGAGCACCATGGTGGAGACTCCCCACTTGAGGGGCAGCAGGTTGGTCCCGTCGTGCGTCCCTCCCTCCGGAAAGATCCCGATCGTCCCTCCTTTCTGCAGGTGCTCGTGTACCTGGTCATAGGACTTACTTGCGCTGGGAGGGGATGACGATAGTCGGCAGAGAGGGGTAGCGGAGGATAAACGTCTGGAAGTGAAGAACAGAGGCAGAGGAGGACGCAGGAGAGGGAGTCGGGGAGGGAGGGGAGGAAGGGGAGGGAGCAGGCTGTGGTTTTACCTGGTTGAACATTTCCGATTGGTCGACGTAGGGAAGGAAAGTGAAGGCAGTCGGGTCAGAGATGTTCAACTCCCTCGTGACTTCACCCTCCTTCTCCAGTAAACCTGCCTGCTCCTCTCCTTTGGTGTCGTCTCTGCTGCAGGAGTCAGAATCCAAGAGATCTCCCTCCTCCATATTCCTTCCAGCCCCAAACTCCCCCCGCAGGTCCCCCGTCCTCGTCCCTCGCTTCTTCCCCCCGACCTTCCAGTCCTCATTCTCCTCCTCATCCTCTGCTTACGGTTTTGAAAGGTGGACGGCTTTGTGGTAATCTCTGAAGTATTCTCCAACCATGGCCGAGTGCATCACACCATCTCGAATCCACGCGTACAAAAGATGAGTAACCAAGCATGCGATCTGAACCCAGGTCGCATCAAGATCCTCTCACTCCCTCATTCCTTAATTCCCCTCCCCCCCCTCCTCCACCCCCCCCCCCCCGGCCCTCCTCCTCCTCTCCTCCTCTCCTCCTTGTACCTGCAAGCAGACCATCCACACGGCAGGCCACCAGTTGGGGAAACTGTAGCCCATGGCGGAGACGAGCTGCAGGACTATGAGAAGGTTGGAGGAGGAGACAAGGAGCGTCACATAGATGAGAGAGACGGTCAGGAAGCAAACGATGGCGATGGTCCACTGAGGGGAAAGAGCGTGCATGTAAGAATGTTCGTGCGCCTCCTTCCTCACCTGTACCAGACTCGTCATGCACTGCCGCACGCGAGCGCAAGGGGGGGAGGGGATGGTGGAGAGGAAGGTCGGTCAAGAGAGAGGGACGTAAGGAGAAGCAAACTACTTCGATCTTGTAAGAGAGTGGAGCTGTGAGAACAAGGTTTTCATCGTCGATCACCTGCCAAGTCATGACATCAGCAATCCTTCGACATTCCCAACACAATCCTCACCCTCCCGACCTTCCCCGAAGCCTTCACCCCATCCTTCTTCACGATGATCACCGACCCCTTCTCTAGCTGCTGCGTGAACCGCGTCCCTCCATGACCCCTCACTGCGCTCCTTTCCGCAGTGATGAAGCCTGCTCCCGCTGTCTCGTAGTCCGCCGGCCGGGCCACTGGGATGCCCCTGAGGACTTTGGCGAAGAACCCGATGACCTTGCGCTTGTACGAGATGTCAGCAACCATCCAGCTGACGTGCCGTCCTGTCGTCTCCGCCACCGTCTTCATCACGACGATCGGGTCGATGAACTGGTTCACGTGGGGAGCGCAAACAAAGATCACCGCCCTCCCGTCCTTGAGGTGGAGAAGCTTCGAGTCGCCGCCGACCGAGATCTCTCGGAAGAACACATCGATCACGGCGAACCAGAAGGAGCACAGGGCCCGCCGAATGCTGATGTGGTCCGCTAGGTACACGATGACGAAGAGCGCACTGACTGCCTGCCCTATCACCGGGTACCCCAGCACAGAGATGACGAGGTCCAGGCCAACTGCTGCCCACAGGATGATGAAGCCGTACTTCTTGCGCACCTGATGGGGGACCTCTAGAACCTTGGATTTCAGCAGCTTGCGTGCGCTGCTCTTGTCATCCTTGTCGCTGTCAAGGTCGTGGTTGCCATGCACGGCGCGACTGGGACTTTTCATCTTCTCCGGGAAGTTTTCTTTTCTCGCCTCTTCCAACGTGTGGTAAACGGATGACCAGGGGATTTCAGGCAATTGGAGTCTTTTCAAGGTTGCAACATGGTTCTTTCACCTGTTGAACTTCAACCTGTTTCCTATGTGAGGTGTCAGAAAACTTCTTTCAGTCGAGCTGTTAACGTTCCCTTTGCAAAACATTCTTCTAAATGTCTCACTTTGAGACCATGGATTGGTTGATCATCATATTTCTAGCCTGAATTTGATGCTACAGTGCAAAAGAAGGTCTATCATGCTACCTTTCTACCTCAGTGCTTTCTGAGGCTGTTGCATTTTATCAATCAAGTTTGTCCTCTTCGTAATATTCATTCGAAAATTCCTTGACGTGGAGATCCTTTTCAGACTCATTTCTGAGAATTCCAAATGTGTGATTTCTCTCTCGACTGCAATGATGCGAAGATTCGTCACCAAATTCTTGCGAAACTGCATAGTTCTAAAGTCCTCTTCACGATTTGTTGCAAGCTGCGAGACTACATTTCTCTTTCCCAAATGTTTGACCAACATCTCATTGTTCTCATCATCATCTATGGATCAGACATGGTAAAAAATCTTCATGATTGACAAACAGTCTTTCTATCTCGCCTGCAACTCCCTTGATTTGACAAAGTTTGTTCCCAACATTTTCATCCCGATGAATCCGCCACCCTACCCTGGAATTTTTTACTTGACCCCTGACCCCTCTACTGAGCAAGTTGCACTACCCCTACCCTGATTTTTCCATATGGAAAGTCGTCAAGTACCCCCTTGTGAGCTGCTCGCCTGGTTCCAATCCAGTCTGTTCCATCCGGACCCCCTCGATGTCATACTTGCACCCCCACAATCTACGACTACCCACCTACCCGTCTACGTCCCTATGTGGTCATCAGTGGGGGTAGGTTGATTTTGCTGTCTTGTCACTGATGCTATCATGAACTCTGAGGCAAGCGTGTCACAGACCAGCTGGCAGACTCAAGGCTTCTGAGAGTCGGACGCACTGCATCACGCCGCCGACCGCCCGGCCGGGCCCGGGCCCGGACCGCCGGGCCCATCCCGGATGGCACTGCGGCATCTTTACTGTTACTCAAAGTTAATGGTGAAAAATCAGCGGAGAGGACAATCGGGGGCCCGGATTATCAGGAGTCGGACTGGAGTCGAGGAGGCTTGACTCGCACCGTGGCACTGGCCGCCCCAGTGGGCCGCAAACGGCCGGGCGGCGAGACTCGGGTGAGAACCGTGGCAAACTTGAACCCAACTAACTCAGTTCCCGCCAACTGCTGTCCTCCAAACTTAACGGCAGTGATACGGCATTACTGGCGGCCAGCCTCCCGATCCGACGGCGGGGGATCGCACGGTGAGGGCCCGGGGGGGGGGCCACCGCCGGCGGCGGGCCGGCCGGGCCGCCGGGCCGCGGCGATCGGCCCGGGACCTTGCCAGATAGTGCATGGATTTTACATCAATGATCCTGGCATACAGTCTACTATGATCTCTCATAGTATGGCCGGCTCGGAGGCTCTCAGCCTGGCAGGCTGGCAATTCTGGTCAGGGTCGTGTGCGGGCAGTGCATTAAACTCGGTCTTGAGCAAGAACTGTCTTCAAGTTACAACTAAGGTCGACTCGAATGTGATATCTGCGGCGTGACTTTGGCACTGATCTGAGTACAAGCCCCTGACGCTGAGTCTAACAAACTTGTGCTCCGTCACCGTACACTGCCAGGCTGAGCAACGGTGACTCGGACGGTACGGTACCTTTAAGGGCCGCTTGATGCGCCAGTGCACGGAGAGCCGGCCCCCGCCATCGAGTACTTTACTCAAAGTTAAGTTAAAATCAGTACGAGGACAATCAGGAGAGTCGAGGAGGCTTGACCTTCAAGGCTTGACACTCAGTGACTGTCGCACTGGCCAAACGGCCGGGCGAGTCATCATTGTCGGATCCCATAGCAAAGCTGACTCATATTTAGGGTATTTTTGGCAAACTCAACAGCCATTCTTCTAGTTTCTCGCGCCATTGAAGTCCCTCTATATGCCCATGTCGAGTCGGAAAGTCTGAAACATTCCGATGATGACAAGTTTGGGATTAAATGGCAGCGAGTTAAGTGATGTCGGGCTTGTGAGGCTCCAGACCCCCGAGTCTCACGGAATCGGCAGTTTTGGCAAAGGTGTTTTGCCTAAGTTTGGGCTTGATAAGAAAGCTGCATCAGTACCCTGTAGAGTTTGGATTGAAGTTTGTAAAGTTTTATTTCATAACAGTGGTAGCTCTCGTTTAAATCGGATCTTGACACAAATAATACAAAATGTCCCGGCCCCAATTATTATCAAGCTGTAAGAATGGGGAAATCATGGAACTCCAAAGTTTTATCGTGATATTCTACATCTCTCAGAGCAGGGGACCAGGAGAACATCTTGATTCGAATCTGATAGCACAAATAGACAACGATATCATGGAATCATCGCTTTGTCTTGTTGTCTCACTACACTTCATGATAAGAATTATATTATCTCTTTATTTACTTATCACAACACCTCCCAACTCTTTCATACATCCCTTCGACGAGTTTTCCATCATAGCCTCTGGATCTCGCCAAGTGCATCGACAAAATGGCTACGGCTCACAATCAGCTCAATGCTTCTCTTGAGGCTCGCAAGCTGCTTCTGCTTCACAGACGAGACTGTTGGGGGCTCGCGAGGCTTCTGCTCTCCTTGCAGCTCAGTAGTGATGGGCTGAAGAACCGAAACTTCCCCTCCGCTCTGCATCTTGATTCTAGATCGAGTCTACGCTTGACAACACGACCGAAACAGATGAGAGGGCAACGTTGACTGAGGGGCCAGCAGAGATCTGCCGATCGCCGGCACAGCGAGGGGGTGAGAGAGGGGCGAGGGTTGAGAGCACGAGGCAGAGCACGAGGAAGGATGTGTAGGTGAGGGTCAATTTAAACAGAAAGAGCTAGTGACACCGTTTTTTTTTGTCAGCCACAATTAAAACACGATTTAAACAGGGCAACCCCATTGTGGTTTGACGGTCTCATCACATACCCCAATTTGCCCATGTGATGGACAATTAATTCGGGGTAGGGGTATGTACCCCAACCCTTCTCATAAGGACTCTTCTGTACTTCTGGAGTCACAAAACACTGGAACGGCAAGGCTGAGGGGTATATGTGCCCCACATTTTCATGCTGGAGATACGGGTAGGGGTACGGAATCGAACGCAGTATGGAACCGAGTCAGCGTGCTGACCATCGGGCTTTTTCTTTTCCTCTAACGTCCTTCCGAAGTTCCCTTTATCTACATCAGTCTGGCTCCCCTGTCCTCACCCACCACGTCTCTCGGCACTTGGTTCTTATCATTCCTTCTTACTGCATTTGCGCTTGACCAACTTGTTTCCGTACCTTCCTCTCAACGCAGTCACCCAGGGAGAGATCTTTTACTGTTCATCTCATATCAAGAAGCTCTCGTCAAGCCCTACAGATTTCCTTGGAGTACAGTGCGCAGCCATTTTTGAAAAGATCAATCGGACACGTATTAGACAATCTTTTGTCTGTTGTCGTACTCATGACAAATAAGGTTGAAATCAACACAATCACTGCTCATTTCCAAGCTTCTTTGACCCCTCTCAAGCGTCCGGAAGTTTGCTCCACTAAGCAAAAGCAGCTTGCAAGCTTGAGAAGGAGCATTGAATTGATTCTTGGCAAAAGCGAGTTTATCAATGTCTTTGGCGAGATACAACAATTATGATGTAATTTGATATCATGTACGAGAAGTCTTAACTTTGACAGAATAAGATATTCAAAGAATGAAATAAATGCCTTTGTAATTTCAGATTCTTCTTACTTGAGTCATCGCTGACCCCTGAGGTATTTCTCAACACGGGGTAGACTATATCCTTATTCATTGAATAATGAATACAAGTCACATCTTACCTCATGTGTGATGTGTGATTTTTTGAGTGATCCAACAACAAGTCAGACCTCAGTCTTTCCTTCTTGACAAGGTTTTAGCCTTTTTGATAAAATCAAAATCGACATCCTACCCTTTGCATTATAGACTGCATATATCAAGCCGTGGGGGTACGGACTTCTTTGGACACATTGCGATCGTTTGGTGTGCTTGGTTGTGATTGTTTATTGCAGGTTGACAATATTGGTTTCTAGGTCAACAGGAAATAGAGAGTGGCAGAAGGGAAATGTGATTGTTAACAGCCATCAGCACCAATGTCGTTGGTGTAAGAAGCCCATGCACTGTGACTCTCCCACAACTTCACGGTTATGGACCCCTTGAACTTGCCCTTCAACTCCACGCAAAGACCCTCAAATATTTTCTTGCACATGAATTCTGTTGTAGTGTTTTCTCCGGGAAAGAGCTCGTTGAGATTTTTGAAGTTGTATTCCCCAAGAACTTTCTTTAACATCGTCATTCCCTCCCCAATGTCCAAAACCCAATTCAACCGTGGAGCAAGGCTCTCCACATGAAATTCCACGTCCACAGTATACGTCGCCCCATGCATGTTCTGTGCGGGACCGAATTCCTTCCCAGTGAATGAATGCGCGATCATTATTGAGTCGCGCAGCCCGAGGCTGTACCGCTCCCCTCCTCCCCTGAGATGCATTGAGGTTGCAAAGTTCTTCATAGGAGAGGACGAGAAATGTGCAGATGGCACAGCTGCGCTTGTTCGAGACACAAGTGCAGGCGCTGTCGCTTCAGTGAAGCCTCTCATCATCGCTGGCAGGACGAGCAGGGTGAGCCATGGGCTATTCACAGCAACCATGGCGGCGGCCACCTGAACGAATGGGAAGAGTACCACGAATGATGGTGAAACAGTACGCCCAGCCGGCCGGCGGGCAGGCCGCGGCCGGCGGGCCGGGCTGGCCGGGCCCGGCGGCCGGGCCGGCCCGGGCACAGCGGCACCCTGGCGGGCACCAGGCGGCGGGGCCCCGGGGCCGGCCGCACTCACTTCGCATGCCCATCTTCCTCTTCTATGAAACCCCAGCCCCTCCCACATGATGGCCGATACCTATAGCAGTCATCCTATTTCGCCGGACACCCTCCTTACGTTGTCCACTATAGCAAGGTAGTCTGCGTAGAGCATGCAGGTCAGAGCTCCGTGCCGTAGAGCCACGTGCAGTGTGGGACGAAGAGGGGGCTTCAAGTCCTAGCTGAGCCGTCTTGCCGCAGTAAGGTCCTCTCATGTCTGGATGCTTGGGTTTCACATCCTAGCATACAGTCTATCTCTCATGTGCTCCTCAATTCTGGTTACAACTAAGGTCGATGTGATATCTGCGTGACTTTGGACTAGTACAAGTCTAACCCTTGAACTTGTATTCCGTCACGGGTCGCCGCCGGCTTGCAGTGCCTGGCGTCGGAACGTGCCAGCAGTGCTGGCGCCAGCCCGGGAGGCTGCGCCGGCGGGTGACTGCGGCAGTGCCGCCCGGCGCCGGCCGCCGGCCGCGCCGTCCGATCATAGTCACAGGCTGGCATGACTTTCATGTTTACTGATGGAGAAGATACGGCAAAGTTAAAAGATCGGATAGTAACGGCATGAGTTCATCATGAGTCTGTGACTACAGAGACGCTGCGCTCCGGCAGCTCAAGTTCTCTTTCAGCAAGAAGCAAGATGTCAGACCAATGAGGAACGATCGCACCGTAGTCATATCCAATGAATAGGATACGACCTTGTCCTGCCGGGATCTCAAAGATCACAGCATTGTCGTTCTGATCCATATAGTAGAAGACTGTGTTTTCCGGCAACTCACTGGCAGGAATCGCCACAGTGCCGCACGCACAACCTGCATCGCCCAACCCTTCCAACAAGCGCGGACCATAGAAGAACTCTGTCGTAGTAGCATCGTTCTGCATGTAGAACGGTCCTTCACTCCACACAACGTCCATCCTGCTCTTCTCCGTGGAGTACTCGTCTATGTTTCCAGTTCTGACATAGCCATATCCATCATCGCCAGCAAGGAACCTCGAGAGGAAATCGGCTCCGCTGTATCCTCCGAGCAACAGAATATTGTTGCCTCTGGTGTATATTGATCGATCCAGGATGTTCAATCCATGGCGGGAAATGGTGGGAAAGAAGCAAGGTGGGACCACGTAGATGACCTTAGAGTACAGCAGCGTCGTGAGCTCTAGCTGGTTTTCGATCCAGGTGTAGTCCTCGTACTTTGAGGCTGCGATGTTGGGGATCTTCTCGAGGTGGTCCTGAGGCTTCAACAGCATCTTGATGTTAGAAACCGCCGCGGTGTGGTCACACCGATCTGAGACTGAGATCACGTAAGGACCGGAGTATGCAGAGTTGTCACACGATGGGCAGCCTGTCTTGCCAGTGTACGGTTCGAAGAATCGTGACTTGTGCGAAGGCATGACGTCCATGTTGTCCCACCGCCTTGTAGAGTAGTAGTCGGGGCCTGGCTCCCACCCTGGGACTCCGACGTCCGTCTCTGCTGCCTTTCTCATGGCAGAGTCTCTCCCCCACTCTACAGTGTTATGGGCATCGCTGCCTGCGTTCCTGATCGCCGTCAAGTCTCTGAGTTGTACGCGCGCTAGGATGCTCCCCGGAAAGATCACGGATAGGAGGGACGTTTTGGCTTGCCGGGAGATCAAAAGGCAGGCAACGAGCGCGCATGCTAGGAGTGAAGAGACGGCTATGGTGATTCGCCTGCGAGCTGCCGGCATGGTTGGAGCATGGCAGATGAGTGGATCTTGCGGCGAGGGCTGCATCGCTCGCGGCGCTGCTGCCTCCTCTTGATCCATGCTTTCCGCCATAGCGCGAACCATGAGCGCGAACAGCCGCTTGCAGAGAGGGGATGAGGGGCGCTGTTTACCGCATCCCCCCTCGTAACCGGGCGATGCGTCCGGTGCGCAGTCCGGTGCGGGCATGCAGGCGGGCATGACCGCGGTGGAGGGATGAACAGCTGATAACTGGGAGGAGACCGAGAGGATGAGGGAGCAGGATGACATGGTGAAAGAGCAGGACAGGGAGAGAGCGGGAGAGGGCGGACTGCTCGAGAGGAGAGAGGAGAGAGGAGTTGAAAGCGAGTATGCTTCTGAGCAATTCTTCTCCTCCATAAGGCCATCCTTGACTTCACCTCTTAGCGTACTCAGGGGAGACCGAAGCATCCACTCCACCATGGCATGCATCCTCTAGCTCGTCGAGTCAGACGGTGCTCACCATGGGGTTCTGGAACTTCGGGGGGGCAGGGCACGTGGCACTTGCGCTTGTGTGTCTGTCCCTGTTCTCCTCCACCATGGAGGAAGCAGCAGGGTTCAACTCGGAACTCGCCGTATCGACAATGACAAGACTGCGCATGACCATGGTGCGCCTGAACTTGCGCGGCGGAGGGAAGAAGTTCAAGGGGAAGATGTTCCCATCGGCCATGGAGAAACGCATCAAGCCGCTGACCGATCGCTCTGACTTCCAAGTTGACAATGGCGAGGGGAGGAAGGTCCCGACCAAGATGGAGAAGGACTGGCAAGTGATGCGGTGGCTCAATGATGATCCGCTCGAGCACCCGACGTTGCAGCAGGAGTATGAAGGGATCGACCGGCGCTCTTCACTCCACCCCGCCAATCAGATGATCATAATGAAGAGGGAGGAGAAGCTTCGCAAGAAGCTGGCGAGGAGGCAGAAAGGGCTGAAGAGAAGGATGAAGATCCTCAAGATGATGAAGATGCAGGAGAGGAAACAGAAGAGATTCAACGAGCAACAAATGGCGTCCACGAATGCTGCGACTGGTTCCACGAAAACGACAAGTCAACCCAGTACGCATCTGCTTGCCTCTAGAGCATGTCTGAACTCTCAGCAGATCAACCTGATAAGTCATGGAAGGCAGATATGTCCAGTGGAGGAGACGATGAGGACATGGTTCGTGACTTTGACGCGACTTGTTGGTACCATGACGATGTGGACAGTACGACGTTCTTGTGTTGGCAGAGGATCAAGCGACGCCCATCCTCAATGTTTCACTCTCCCGCAAGATGGCCAAGACATTCAAGAAACATGCAGGAGACAAGACTAAACTTCCGACAGAAGCGGGATACTTTGGATCGGTAATCCATGGCTGTACCTGTGCTGAACTAGCTGATTGTGGTCCTCAGAGCAAGTTGAAGTCCACCAACAGGGTTTACTTCCGAAGGTCGAGATCGGTTTGTCTATCATGACGGAGCCAATATCCTGTAAAGCTGACATAACCTCACATGAAGGCACCTCCACCAATGAAGGTTTACAGGAGGTATGAGACGAGCAATGGCAGTGTATTGGAGCTCGGTATGTCAAACTTGTTGTGTCGGTGAACGATTGAAGAGGATGTCGTCCAGCGTCCCCTTTGACATCACAGAAGTGCAAAACTCTCCTGGTTGATCTTGGATTTTCTCCTTCTCAAGTTCGAAAGGTTGGGATATTATCATCGTCACAATGTGATTTCGTTGATTGATCCTCGTTTTTCTGAAGGTCAAAAAGAACTTCACAGCGGTCGCTTGCCTGTGCGACAGCATCGTTTGCACCAAAGGTTATCTAAGTGCCTCCTTCTCCTACTCTCTTCCATCCTCCACCGCCACCGCCACCTCCTCCCCCTTCTCCTCCTCCTCCTCCTCCTCCTCCTACTCCTCCTCCCCATCAGAGCTTTGTCAGGTGGACGACAATACATATCACCTTGGTTTGATGCCTGCGGTCTGGCGAGCATCAAGGATATCGAGCGTCGCAATCTGCGAATTCAAAACATATCGGTCTGAAAATCCACGTGCATACGATCTGCTCTTGACATTTCGCAGAAGCAATTCCCTTCGCTCACCCCGGGGCAGAGCTTGCAGATGAACGAGTACCTCCTCTACACCGTGGAAAAGCAGGAGAAGATTCCGCTCAAGGTCTGCTTCGTTTCCTCTGAATTTCTCTGCTGATTGGAGGCTCGAAGAACATGATAAAATTGTGTGAGAAAACCAATAACTTCAGACAGACTGGGGGATATGCTGATTCAGGTCCATTCCTCGTGTGCCGTCAATCAAGTCACAACTGATCTTAACATCCTCAGCCCTCCGCTTCGCCGTCCAGAGGGACTGCCACCTTTCTCTTGCGACCCTCTGCCAGGCAGGATTCAAAGCGAGCAACCGTGAAGGTCAGGTGGACTGCCGCTGGCGCTCATGGTGTCATTTCACTCTTCCAGGTCCACTGCTGCATCTCGCTGCCAGGCTGGGACATCCGTGAGCTCACCTCCAGTCCCTTCTCTGCTGTTCTTTTCCTCCTCCTCCCTTCTCCCCTGTCCTCAACCTCCGCTCCCTCCCCTGCGCTCGTATGCCTCTCCATCTGCATGACGGTCGAACGGACTTTCCCCATGCGTCCCTGCTCACCTCACTTCGCTTCCCGCTGCTGGCTTCTACCAACTCAAGTGCAGGAAATGCGTCGAGGTTCTGCTGAGCCAGGGTAAGATGAAACTGGACGCCAAGAACTTAGAGGGAAACACGCCGCTACATGCAGCAGCAGCGGCTGGGAAATTTGAAATGGTGAGAAGAAGGACGAGGAGAACAGGAGGAGAGGAGGAGAGGAGGAGAGGAGAGAGGAGGAGAAAAGATTCAAGAGTAGATTTCCACTTCCTGATTCTGAGGGCAGGTCAAACGCCTCTGCGAGATGGGAGCGAACGCGTTCATCCCGAACAACAACAACTTGACAGCAGCAGATGTAGTGCTCTGCTGGCACGCGCCCCTCGGTGGTCACTCATGTTGGCAGGTATCTGTGATGGACAATAAAGATGCGAACGGGAAAGGTGAACGAAGTTGAAGAGGATGACGTTACGTCAAAGATCGTGGTGGTGGTGTTGATGACGATTGAAGTTATGATGATGATGATGATGATGATAAATGCGACCGAGTTGTTTGTTGATAACGATGGTGGTGGTGGTGGTGGTGGCGGCAGCAGCAGCAGCGATGAAGATGAGGGTGGTGATATTGATGATGATGATGATGATGATGATGATGATGATGATGATGATGATGATGATGATGATGATGATGATGATGATGATGATGATGATGATGATGAGAGAAAGAGGACCAAGAGGTGGAGCAGGAGGAGGATGGTAACTTTAGCATGCAGAGGTTCTCGTGACCTACAAGCTTCGCATCAACTCCTGGCTCAAGTCCTACATGAAGAAGAGGCTGCTGAGCTCCAACAACAAGGCCGAGCATCGCATGGCTATCAAGAGCGGATTGAACCTATAAGGACATGTCCTTATGGGCTCAGAAGGAGAGGGAAGACAAGGGGAAGGAGAGACGAGGGGAAAGAGAGAGAAGACGAGGGGAAGGAGAGACAACTTGAAGGGTGAAACAGGAACCCTAGCTTCTATCTTCATCAAAAAAATACTTCATTCCTCGATTCCACGATTATCGCACCCACCCCAAGCTAAAATAATACAAAATAACGCCGACCACTGACAGTCCAGCCGTCAGCCAAGCAAAGTTCCATGCTCCCTCATCGCTGTGAAAATGTATCATACCCTTCCCTGAGCCCTTGCCCTCTTTTCACTTCCTCCTTCACCCCACCATCCCCCCCGCCTTCACCCTCCTTCCTCCTCCTTCTCTCCTTCCCTTCCTCTCGTCTCCTCCCCCCTGCCCTCGAGGCAGATCGAACCTGCGGATACACGCAAGGATGCTCTGCGGGGGGTTGTAGTAAGACATTCGCTGCCTGCTCGTGAAGCTGTAGGTAGATGGCCCAAGAGTTACCTGCCCGTATCTGCCGCATGCGACGATCAGAGTTACGACCATGAGCTGGAGCGCGAACCTGCTCGCGTCGGAGTGAGGAGAAGGACCAGATGAGGCGCTTCCTCTGTGACTTTGAGCTGCAAAGATGTCGGTCAGAGCAGAACTCACACCCACTTGCTTGTCTTCTACCTGACTGCTGCTTGCTCAACGACAGGTCAACAGTGTTCTGGCTCCTGGACGCAATGAAAGGATGGCTGCCGAGAGGATGAGGAAATTTCATGCTTGGCGGAGCCTTTTACATGCGACTCAGGAGCGATCGTTGACAGAAAGAAGAGAGGAATGAAGACAAGCAGTGGGCAGGGAAGGAGACAGCGAGAGAGGGGAGGGCTTCTCAGGCAACGCAAGATTGTTTTCTCACTTGTCTGTTCGGCAAGGAGCAATCCGATGATCCGTTACCATCTGCCATGAATCACTCGTCAAACAAGCCGACACAGGGAGACGCTTATGTTGCTCAGACTCGCCTGCGGCCCTTCCATCGATCGGGCCCAGGATACGATACTGGGCTGCCCGCAAGTCGAACGGAGGCATCCTGACAGGAGAAACGATCTCAGCACCGCAAAGTGATTGTCTCGTCATAATCAAAGTCCTCTACATGATCATCATCAACTTTCGTCATTCTCTCCCTCCTACTCCTCCTCCTCCTCCTCCTCCTCCTCCTTCTCCTCCTCCTTCCTCCCCCGTCCGCCCCTTTCTGCACGGCCCGCATTTCGCCTTCACGGAGGTTGTGTACCACGTAGGTGGCTGATCACGAGAATTTGAAATTTTGAAAAATATACTCAAAAGTTCGAAAACTTGCTTATCCGGGCCCATCGCCGCCCGGCCGGGAGTCCGGCTGACTCGGACCGGGTGGCCGTGAGACTCAGTGACTTGCCAGGCCGCCGCCCGGGGCCGGCCGGGCGGCGGGGAGGCTCACCGGACACTCAGTCACCGGACCGTACGGTTGGGCCCGGGCGGCGAACTCGGCGATCATCATCGGATGGCCGGCCCAGTACACCAGGCTGTACGCCGGGTCGGATGGCCCGGGGCAGGCTCGCTGCCGCCACACTGTCGGTTGCGTATTTACATGATATTTACTTGTGATTTACAAGAGTCTCTCACGAGTCACACTCGCACCCGCCCGGCCCCTGCGTGGAATGATCGGCCCGATCGGACGTGGCTGGCTGGCAGAATTTGCTTCAACTGAACCTCTGGGCGGACCGGCGGTCCCGTCAGTTGCCACCCGGACTGAGGCCAGGGATTCAAGTTCAGAGCCGTCCCATGGCAGAAAACGTTGATAAGCACGGAGAAGTTCCGAAAGGATGGGAAGTTATGGGCACGTGCAGTTCCATGCAACACCTCCGCGAAGCTGCTGGGCAGACCGAGTGCCGCCCAGCAACGTCAAGAGCGATGAGACCATCCTCCATCCTCTGCAGAGCAGGTCAGAGCTGCCAAGACGCACACAGATTGATGGCGAGCAAGGAGCACCTTGGGGGGGCGTTGTCTATGTCATCCAGAGGAGCCAAAATCTGCTCAGCCCCGTCAGAACGAGCGAGGCTCACAGCAAGAGGGCAAGGTCACCTGCTGCTTCATGATGGAGCAAGCTGTTTTGATCTTCCATGAATGATATGCTGTAGCTATCTTCCCTGCAGCTTTGCAGACCGGCCACAGCCCTATCTTCCAAGTCCAGAGATATCTGATGTGACAGGAGTCAGTTTCGTCGCTACATCTCTTCAAAGTGCCTCACTCTGTACAGTGTGCTTTCCCGACGTAGCGTTCGTCGTAGCACCATGGGCTCTGCCGCATCTATCAGCGCGGTGCAGAACGAGTTTCCTGTGAAGTTGGACCTTCGGAAGCGACTGATCACCAGAACATTGGAAGGTATTCAACAGGCTCTGCAAGAAAGCGATGAGGAAAGGGAGGATCAAACGTTCACATGGGCACCTCGACCATCTCTCTGTCGCAGTCTGTGATTCTACAACCATAGCTGGGATTCGTGTGTGAACGCATCGGAATCCCACACCTGAAGAAAACGTTTAGACGGCTCAGGGTGCGCAATCGGTATGCAGACCGTAGGAAATCATCCTCATCCGTTTCACCCATGGGGTACAACCTGCAAACCCTTCAGTGTTTTCCACCTTTCCTATCTCGTCAGACAGACTTTCTCCGTCGCCCTTCAATCCAATATTCTGACTTTTCTGCAACGGAAATGAACAACATTTGCCTATCGCATCTGAAGCACGCGAAATTACTCACCGATGCAGAAATCATGTTGTGCGCATATAGTGTCAAGCACGTCAAGAGGTCTGCGAGCAAGGAGAGTCAAGTAAGAAGAAGTCAGAAATGAGCAACAAACCTTCTCGAGAAGTCATGGCCATTCTGAGGACCACAATAGTACCTGAGGGGAACAACATGTGAATCTGCGTTCAAAGGAGCAAAACTACAAGCATACCATGGAGATACGATCTTCGATCGCTGACAGCGGGCTCCCCCTACATGGGACAAATGGGATCCAAACAGCCACTCCCATAGAATTGTGTGCAAGCTCAGTCGCCTAGCATCTCACCGTTAGGCTGCAAGCGTCCACCATTGGGCGATCACCTCCAAAACAGAGCGACGAAGAACAGCGTGACCCAGACCTTGTGGACAAGAGTTTTCAGCAGCTGCTGTCTGACAAGACAAGGGACATACAAGGGACCCGAAGAAGTATCTCTTCTGGGGTCGCTCCTCCACCATCCTCACTCTGCGAGCCCTCCAAGCCCATCGATTGAGTCTGTCATGACAGAAGTAAGCATACTGGTGCGAGAGGACACAGAGCTCACCTCCTCCAAGGCAAGAGATTCTGCGACTTGAGAAATCCTGGCGGAAGTTCTTCCAAGGATGCATGGCTTGCCTGACCCTTGCGCTTATTGACATTCCAATGCCCCGAGAAAATGTGTCCCCAGCGTGCCAGGCCGAAACGCGGCCCATACTTCTGAAGGCGGAAGAAAGCATGTGAGCCTCAACACCCATGAGAAACCAGGCTGACCTGCAGCATCATGACTTTGCCGTCAATGGTGGAAGGGCGGCGATTTGAGAACCGATTCCATGGATTCCATAAGGGTTTCCTCGAAGGACTGCATGCGTCTTCCGAGGAGGAGTGTGTATGAACATCTGTAGCAAAGACGGACGAGCACAATTGACATGAGTCCAACCCTTCACAATCGCAGCCTTGCTCGTCCAATTCTTTCTCCATTTCGTCCTGACACATCAAGTCAAACACGGTTCGAATCGCCGGCTCTCCCCATGCTACCTCTGAGATCTCCATGATGCCATTGTCACGGTCATCCATCCCATACTTCTCCTGCGCTGGGTCAGTGCTTTCTCTAGAGAAGGTGATCGGGAAACAACCAAGGTCTCGTCTCCTTCGGAGTCATAGTCAACGAAATCATCATCCAGTTGCCCGTTGGAGTAGTCGGAGTAGTCGCTCTGGGGGGTCCGATCATGCACACAAGTGTCCCTTGGATGCGGCATACCTTGTACTCATCATCGAGGTCAAGCCCGTAAGCTTCGCCCACTCTGGAGTTTTAAACAACAGTTCAGACTGTGAAACTTGGGGGGCAAGATGCAACGAACCTGTCGAGTCCTTCGAACAAACTGGCCTCCGGATGCACCGCAGGATGTTGACTGGCATCATCGAGTGAGGAGCCTCAAATTGACCAATGAAAGATGTTGATGACGGCAAGATCAGGCGAGACGTTGTGAAAGCGGTCAAAGTGTTGCAAGGGGCCGCTGTGAACCAACATTTTTCAACATCAAGGGGAGGGACGATGAGCCAGAAGGTGACCTTGATGCATGACAAGACAATCAAGGGCTGGGGCAGGCAGGCAAGTGCAGGTCTGGACCAACCGCAATGGCCGCAAGGGAATAGGAACAGAACTCTAACTTTGCAGTGGTTACACGAGCAGGGGAGGACAGGTGGAAGAAAGGACTCGAGATCAGCGACTAGGGGAGCTTGCTCTCGCAACCATTATGAGGCATCTGTGAGAGGAAAAACTTGGGTGACACATCAAACATGCTCCAACCTTCTCCTCTCCTCGCCCACAAGCCGGTTGAGTTCCTGCATGGCGCTTTGGGAGATTTGGTATGGGTAGGGTGATGAGGGGTACCCATCAATGGAAACACAGGGGTGGTGATGAAATGTGGGAGAAAGAGGGGGTATGGGGATGACTCTTTAGCTACAAGGGTAGGTAGTCAACAGTGGGTAGGGGTCCCAAGGTTCTAAAAGGGTACTCTACACAACATAGGGGGTTAATTAACCCTCACATGCCCACATGATGATGGGTGGGGTACTAAAGTCTTGGACGGGTGAGGTGCATCTCAACTTCATCTTTCCACCCTACCCCTCCCACAACGTCAAGCCACAATCGCTTGATCACCCCCTCTTCCTCCTACCCTTTTGAATCTTATGACCCGGTTGTTGGGACCACCTACCCCACCTCATACTTTAGATCTGTTTCAACCACCCGGGGTGGTCGAAGCGGGACGGCAGGTGCCCATTTCTCGTCAGTAACAAAGTGCATCCGGGCCCGCCTCTGCTGCCACCGTCATTGCCGAGTGGTGTTCCGGTTCGAGTGCCCCCGGGCCGGGCCCGAATTTTATATCTATTTTATACTGGGGGCTGTTTCTCGTACGATATCTTATAAGTTTTTAAAGTAAGATAAGGGAATGACTTTGAGGTACAAAACACCAGAGGCTTTCCTTTTCAAAATATTATAAAGTAGTTATTAAAAACGATTCACCTCCATAAAATATTAAAAGTGAGGATTTGTATACAAATGTATCCTACCGGATGGGGGAACGCGTACAAATGGACCCCGATAACCCACCCTCAACCTCTACCCCACGTTTTTCCTGTGAGAAATGAGGTCATGACCGGGGGTCCCTTTATATGTGCGCTCTAAAACTGTTTTTCCCCAGATATTGAATTTCCTGGAAACTATCCAGAATTCAACAAGGACCCCTCAAACTGACTATGAGTAGTACCGGTGAGAGTACCTACCAATCTCCATCACCCCCTCTAAACCCCCATGAAAAACTGGGTTCTCGAAACCAAATTGAAATCAAGAGGCGAATCCTCTGGGTGTGTTGACCCCCAGTTGATACCACCCCCTCCGATTCTTCTAGGTCATGGTCTATCCACCCCCGGGCATACCCGATCTCAGGAGATAGGACCCCTTCACGGCATCTGCAGCCGACAAACAACGGGTGCATATTTGACTGCAGTATGAAGGGTAGGGTAAACAGAATTGTGGTGCATGACTCAGGGGTAGTTTGGGGGCCGGGTGCCGAGGGCAGGGGTGGTGAGAACGTTGGGGTGGGAACGGCGGTGTGAAATTCAGGGGTAGTGGGGTGGGGGTAAACACGACGATGCGGGGAGCCTGTGCATGCATCCCGCTCCTCCACTGGATCCTCAACTCCTAGCGTTATCCTCGTAGCTCCCATCCTCTTCCTCCTCGCCCTTGGTTCCTTGCTAACGCATCAGTTCCCCTGTACCTCTGACTTTTGTCTCCTCCGCTTCTTGTCGCCTCCATTCGTCCCCTTCCTGACCATTCTTCCCTCTCCTTGTCCGTCAAACGCCAACTTTCTGCCTTGGAGAGCTTACATGTAACCCTTGTCTGACGGATCTTATCAGCAGGTTGATTCATTTTCTCCTGGATTGAGATACACAATCCTATTCTGCTGTTTTCTTGGTCGTGAGGTCGATCGGATATGTTTCAACAGTGGATCGACAAGTGAACTGGGTTTGCACCACCGGCCAGCGAGCATGAGAGAAAAGAAAAGTAGACACTGAGATATCAACTGTACTGATTCGCAACACAAGGTTGGTTTTTTCTCTCTCTTCTCTTGCAGGGAAGCTGGCTGAAAATTGAATGTCTAAATCAAAGTTTCAGGTACTTTCACGACAAGCTTGAAATGGAACTATCAACGACCCCGTCGAGGAATGTTGATTCATGTGCAAACAGGCGGAGGAAAAAGTTTCCATCTGGCACTGAGGACGAGCATTCAAATCGCCGGATGAGTGTGAGGCAAAGTTGGAGGACGCCAAAGTCTGCGTGCACATTGCTGGTGTTCTCGCTATACATCAGCACGGGGAGCTCCTTCCTCCTTTCGCCATTCACGCATTGTTTTGGCCTCGCAGCGATCTCCAAGGTGCTGAATCCTGCTTGCACCCCGCAGCAGGTGGATGTGGGGGCGGCGACTTCCTTCACCTTCCACACAGAGGACGGGAGAGTGGTGGTGATAAACCTGGCCTCCGACCCAGTTTACAGATGCTCTCGGTTCTCAAACCCTGACCTCACGTCGGTCAATCGGCACGACGCGAATCCTATGTACGGGAAGGATGGGATCGAGGCCGTTGGCGAGACGCAGAGCAACAAGAACAGTGTGGACAAGCTCTACTTGAGATGGCGGGGATCATACGGAGGCGATGGAATCAAATTTTCCCAGATGATTGAATCTCCATTCCTACCGAGGAAGGGATCGATCCCGCTTCCACCGATGTATCCGCTGCCGGAGGATCTCATCAACAAGGACGGGATTGTTGGCCTCGCAGCATTCTTGTCTGTGTACGATTTTGAGCTCGTCACTGATTTCAGGAAGATGGGTTTGTACAGCTGGACTCCCCCTGGATTCATTGATTGTGATTGCAGGAGGGTTCACCATCAACGGGGTGGATTACTCCAGAGAGGTTGGCAGATTTTTTTGTGCATGAACCTGAGTGTGGGCTCAAATGCTGTCGGCAGGGTTACGATGCTGTTTTCGTCAAGAAGATTACGTTGAGGTTGAGGGGAGGAAGCACCCAGACGAATGTAGATGTCGATTTTCCTGCCCGATCAGTGTTTTTGACGGCTTGATCAGCATTCAGTGAACAGCTCGGTTGAAATCTCGTTGAGTAGTCTCCCGAAGGGAGAGATCGCTGACGAGGAGGCGTCTTCGAACGAAGTCGTGAGGTGAGGGTAAAGATGCAGCTTGATGTGATTTCTTAGACGATGGTGCGGTTGACTGGAGCTCTCAGATTAAAGGGAGAAAAGGGAGAAAAGAAACTCTCAAGGGTGGCAAGCAAGGCGCTGGATGGTGGAAGACCTCTCCGCATTGCCCTCTTGACTTGGGAATCTTTGCACACTATTGCGGTCAGGCGAAGGAGAGGAGGAAGAGAGTTGAGTTTATTGATAACCTATCAGGTCGGAGGGGTAGCTCCGCATGTCACTGAGCTGGCAGCTGGCTTAGAGCGCAGAGGGCATGAAGTACACGGTGAGTGAGGAGCAGACGGTGTGACGTGGCATTGACTCTCACTCTCAGTGTACTCGAGGACGGGAGATGGCCAGATGCCTTACGAGATCATCGACGGCGTTCACATTCACCGAGTTCCGATCCAACTTGTGAGTGCCTGAGGCAGTTCTCGAGTGCTTGCTGACCTCCACTGCAGGATCCAGACTTCATCACGGAGTGCAGCAACATGTGCAACTCCTTCGTTTGGTTCCTGACAGAGTCGGAGCAATTCCAAGGAGCTCCCTTCGACATCTGCCACGGGCACGACTGGCTCGCTGCGAAGGCCGTCGTGCAGTGCAAGAACATTGGGAGGAACACTGTTGCCACCATTCACAGCACGGAGTTTGGGAGGTGCGGCAACGTCAACTATGGAGGGCAGGTGAGGAGAATTGGGAGGAGGTTGTGCCTGCTTGTTAACACGCTCTTGCAGTCCGAGCGTATCCGTCGCATAGAGGAAGAGGTGGTGCAAGTGGCAGATCGTGTGATATCGGTGTCTGGGGTGCTCTGCGATGAGGTGAAGCAACAGTTCCGCGTGTCGGAGGACAAGATGCGGATGGTGTACAATGGTATTCATCTCGCTCCTTACCTAGCGACGTTCGATGCAGGAGCAGTCAAGGTACACAAGGAGGGAGTAGGAAGCTTGCCCCCTAACACCCATGTCCAGGCACGTTACAACATCGGGCCCCTGGATCCCCTTGTTCTCTTCGTTGGTCGCCTGGCGACGCAGAAAGGGCCTGACTTGCTTGTCGAAGCTGTTCCTCTCGTCCTCAACACGAGATCCGATGTCAAGTTTGCCATCGTGGGGGATGGGTACATGCGGGCTGACCTGGAGAGGAGGTGAGTGAACGCACTGGATCCCTCGACTCTTCTCCTCCTCTCCTACCGCTTTTCGTTCAACTCAGTCCTCCTTGACAGAGTGAATGAGCTCGGTGTGTCAAATGCCGTCCGCTTTCTCGGCAGCATGTCAGGCCGGCCGCTCGTCGAGCTCTTCAAGAGCACAGACTGCGTCTGCATCCCATCGCGTAACGAGCCATTTGGTATCGTCGTCTTAGAGGTGAGCCAGAGAAAAGGAGCAAGAAAGTGGGAGGACAAGGAAAGGAGGGACAGGTGGAGAAGGAGGATCAAGGCGGGAGGAGGAAGGAAGGGAGGAGGGAGAGGTGCAGGGATTGCTCATTCAAAAGCAGGCATGGGCGTCGGGGAAGCCTGTAGTCGCCACAAGCTCGGGAGGGCCTCGGGAGTTTGTCGACCATGGAGTGGATGGTTATCACGTGCATCCTTCAGCGAACAGGCAAGTCGATGCCCTTCGACTCGACGACCCGCTGACTGGCCGGCAGCATCTCATGGGGGATCTGCGAGATCTTCTCCAACTTTGAGAACGCAAGGCAGATGGGCCTGAGGTGGGTGGGGGGAGAGGAGGAGCTTGTTATGACGAGCATGGCAGGGGGAGGCAAAAGGCACAGAAAAGGTTCAACTGGGACAGAATCGCACAGGACACAGAGAGGATCTACAGAGAGCTGGCAGGGTTCTAGGGTGTGGGTGAGGAGGGGAGAGGAGGGTGAATGGATGGGTGAAGGAGGAAAGAGGAGATGAGGAAAAGGAGATTCCTTCTGTTGTAAATCAATTCTATTGTTGTACTTAAAGCCATGTTCTGCTGCCTGTAGTCAGCCAGCTGTCTTGACGACAGCTGAAGCGTAAGAGACGGAGGAATCAGCCTGAACGTCGTGCAGTGAGTGTTGGAGACGAGGACGGACGCTGATAAGAACAAGGGAAGACAAGAGGGGGACAAATGTGACCACCTGACAGCGACAAGGGGAAGACTGAGCGTAGCGAACAAATTGAATCTTGTAGCTGCGCGCGCCGAGTCAGGAGGAGAGCGTTGAGAAGCAACCAGGTCACGCACAGAGACTGGACGGAGGCCTGAGAAGCAGCGCTGGAGGCTTTCAAAGCATTCAGCAAGACAGCTATCGGGTGCCTTCCGCAGATTGTGTTGTTGAACTGACACGACAAGAGTCAGGAAACACGATTGAGCCACCATGTGCCTTGCTTGACAGACCTTAGCCTGGTAGTTCTGGAAGTTTTCGGGAGAGAGCGATTCGATCTCCTGCATGCCCTGCCTGTCTAGCGCCTCGATTGACTGCCTTGACACATCACGGCGAAGGAAAACTCACACCTCCGTGTCGTTCACCTGGTAAATTTCTCCGAAGGAAGGGTCATAATAAGTGTATCGAAACCGAGAGCCCCAGTGGCAGAAGTCCGAGGAGATCACGAAGAAGGTTGAAGGATCGTTCAAGTAGCTTCAAACACGAGTGAGACTTGTCGAGCAAGGGATCTCAGAGCTCACCGGGAGAAGAGCGACCCGTACACGTCCTCTTTCTTGGGTGAGAGGTTCCCAACCAGGACAGGAACAATCTTGTAGCTCTTGGACGCCTGTTCCATCACCTTGTAGATGTACGGCATCTGCATCTCCAGCGAGTGTTCGTCTTCGTCCACTTCCTCCGACATGTACTCGAAGAGTCCTGAGCTGTGAAGCTCCTGAACAAAGGTGGCAAGTCAGAGCACCTCCACAAAGCAGATCTTTCAGCTCTTGCCCTTCCCGTTGCCCTCCTCCCCCCTTCGCCCCAACCTACATCTTCTCCTCACCTTGACAACATCTGTGTCAATCTCCAGGTTCCCGAGTGGGGTAGCGTAAGCGCTGTGCTTTGACAGCGCGCACCCTGCCGGACAACAGGCGTGTCAAAACTGACGAGGACAGGATCAGGCGTGCAACCAGTAAGGTAGTAGTGATGAGACGGTCCGAGTACGAATATTCGCTTAATTCTGTTGGTGCTCAAGGTCAGAGCGTGCAGGCCTCGTCGCTCCCGTCCTACCTCGAGGGGTCCATGTACCGATAAGCGTACGCAGCAGTTGGGCCCGAATAGGAGTAACCGGCATGCGGAGCGATCAAGCCGCAGGAAGGCTGCAGCTCATCAGACTTCTTCACATCTTGCAGCCATCTGTGGATCGCACGTGAGATCAAGTCATGTCGACACGATGCTGTCGATGGAATGCTCGCTCAAGGAACAAACGAGAGCGATGGACAAGCAAGAGGGACAGAAGAGCGGGACAAAGAGACGACCACGAGCACAACGACATCCATGTCATAAATCGCTCAGCAATTCGGTGAGATCCTATCAAGAAGTTCCAGTATCGCGATCCCATGGCGGAACTGCAGCGCAAACTACAGTTGCGAGACTGCTCAAGGCAAGGACAGCGCAGGACAAGTGCGAGAGTCAAGGGAGGAGCATGGAAGAGCGAGATAGACACGAGAGGCTCCGACCTGTCCAGCTGCTTCTTCAGCTCGTCGCCTCTTCCCGCATACCAGGATCCTGCATGGGACGCTACCCGCACCGACATTCTCGTCGGTCTCTCGGAAACAGATGTATCCTCGAGGATACAGGTGCCCAGAGAGTAAACTAGTAGTCGATTAACTCAATTTCGCTGCCTTTTGATAATGTCTTGAAAGTCACTGAGGTGAACTTGATTCCTACTGATTACTGACTAAAATGACTAATAAAGTTTGAAGGAAACTTTTCGAGTTGGAAAGTTTTCTCTAAAGTTTTGAGAGTTTGTCGCTTCTCTTTGCTCGTGGGGAGGAAAAAAAAAGGCAGGATTGCTACCATGATAACCGTCATAACGGTCAATGCCGTATGAGGGTCTTCTACTTTCTTCATGGCCATCTGAAATAAGTGTTGACTACTCAAATATTGTAATTATTTTTCAACTTTTCAGCGCTTCAATTTCATCAAATCTATGCAAAATTTCGATTTCCGGACTGAAATTGCATGTTGATCACCCTACCAGGTTGGTTCCTCTCCAAAACGGGAAAAGGGTGGGGTCAGAGGTGCCGGAAGGCGCCATGGGCAGGGCAGTATGCCAGAGGTGCGGGAGGCCGGAGACCGTTTGCGTATGCAGCTCGCTTCCCGCAGAGAAGATCATGCTGAAGACGAAGATTCTCGTTGTTCAACATCCCTGCGAATGTCACAAGAAGATCATCGGCACCGTCCCTCTCATGGAGCTCGTGCTTGATAACATGCAGGTAGTTGTAGCGAGAGGGAATGGTGCGAAAGAGGCCTCGACAACGAGAGGAAGGAGGGGGAGGAAAGTCGGCTCCGATGAAGGATCTCCACTCTCGTACGATTCCTCTAGCTCCCAGGACGATTCTTCGCTCTTGCAGAAGGTCAACGATGCCAGTGATACTGCAGCATGTCCGATCCAAAACAAGAAAGGCATAATCCATGGCACCCTAGACGGGAATCCCGCTCTTGAAGCTGCCCTGAGCGATAAGAAAACTCTCCTGCTGTATCCAGGGCCAGGGGCTGTGGACATCGAGACTCTACAGCTGGATGACTCAGACAGTGAGCGGACCCTTATTGTAGTCGATGGAACATGGCGGCAGGCAGGGCGTGTGATCCGCGAGGAATGCATCCGAAGGGCCGTGGAGAGGGGAGACGTCACCCGCGTGCAGTTTGCACGGGCAGGGAGGAGCGGATACAAGTTTAGGAAGGAGCCTCACCAGTTCTGCTTATCTACGTTGGAATCTGTCGCGTACTCGCTGCAGTACCTGGAGAAGACGAGCGAGGGCGAGAGGGCGGTCTGCCACCTCATGGACACTTTCAGTCAGATGGTATCGCTGCAGACTTCCTACATCGCCAAGGGTGGGGAAGTCAAGGATGTGAACGAGGAGGAGGAGGAGGAGGAGGACCTGGACAAGCGGCTGGTGGAGATAGGATCGTATGTCGACTGCGAGAGCGCGCACAAGTGTCCTAAAGACGCTGTCCCTCGCCCGTACGCGCTGTTCCGTCAGATCAAAGACTACAGGACGGGCAAGGACATCTTCGTGCAGGACAGCGAGGAGATGGTCTGCAGGTACGACGAGGCCGCACTTCTGTGCAGGAAGCTCAACTCTCAGAGGAAGCGAGGTAGCCGCCTGACCGTCCTTCCGATCGATGCGAAGGAAGGAGGAGGAGGAGGAGGAGGTACGAGAGGAGCCTCCTCCACGTATGACAGCGAGCTGGAGACGATCTCGGACATCAGCGCGATCCCCGAGGAGGTGAACGTGAAAAGCTCCAGCGATGGCGGAGAGAAGAAGAAAGAGGGGTCGATGGAAGCCTACCCTGTCTCAGCGGAAAAGTTCGTGTCGTGACATCCTGCAGAGTGGAAGATGTTTGTTTCAATACACTTAGATACATATAGATGACTGGGTTTGGATCTCCTCCTCCCCCTCCTCCTCCTCCTCCTCCTCCTCCTCCTCCTCTTCCTCCTCCCACCTTTTCCTTCGCCTCCCCTCCCCTGTCCTCATGTACCAAGAGCCGGCGACAAGAGTTTCTTCCTCAGGTCGAGCTCGCGGAGCATCTCCAGCAGCACCTCGTTGTAGCAGCCGATCTTGGACCGGATTCTTTGCTTCCAACCCCACGTGATGGTCCGCAAGATGCCGCGCTCTAGGGAGGAGGCCAGGAGCTTCACAGCATGGTGGCGCGGACGAGGCAGCGAGTCGATCTCGCAGCGGTAGAGGCTGAGCATGAATTCTGCCTGCAGGAACTTGTACGCGTGCTTGCCGTGCCGGTACTTGTAGATCTGCCATCCCGGGACCTTGATCGATCGCTCCTCGTAGCAAGGGACCACGTCTAGAAAGGAAGAGAGCAGTTCGTCCTCCTCTACCTCTCCTCGGCTCCCCGCACTTCTCCTCCCACAGAGAGGAAAGCTTGCTTGCGGCAGCCGCTGGTCCACCAGGATGTCCTTGAGAACGAGGCAGTGGACATCGTCGATGAGTTTCTCATCTTCCATGCCCATCAGGACCTGGAGGAGGAGTGAGACGAGACAAATCAAGCGATAGAGGGAGGAGGGGCGAGGACGAACGGAGAGAGGGTCAGTGCAGAAGGAACGAATCAAAGAAGAATGTAGACGAAGAAGGGAAGAAAAGAAGATCGGAGAAGGGGGAGAGAGGGCAGAGAAAACAGAGGAGGCTTCACCAGGTTCAGGATCTCGGAGCGAGGGTAAGTCATCCACAGCATGACGTTCTGCTCGAGCTTGTCTGCGACGACCTTGACGTAGAATCCTTCCTCGCTCTCTCCGGCAATGCACTCATCCTCGTCGATGCATCCTGACGGGTTCGGCAGCTCTTGAAGAGCCTTGATCGCGGTGATGCAGCTCAGGGCAACGAGGAGAGGGTCCTGCTGCCTGCGACTCTTGTGCTTCGAGTCCGCGTGCAGCCGCTTGAGGCTCGTAAAGATCGAGCAGGAGTCAGCGTGAGTGAGGATCATGTGGAGAAATTCTCTCAGCTCCAGGTCGTAGTCGAACTTGTAGAGGTCCCCTGCCGCCACCCTCCTCCTTGTATCCTCCTCCTCCTTCCCATCGATGAGCGTGAGGGCCTTCATCCAGGCGAGCTTCCACAGGAGCCGCTCTCTCTTCGCCTGCACCAGGGCGATGGCACGGAAGTCAGACTGGTGGGAGCAGACAGCGATGGTCTTGGGGACATGGTTGATGAGGATCTGCGGGACAGAGAGAATGTCCTCGTCGTAGCCGAACTTCTTCTCGGTGTCTAGATCGATGTAGGTCTTCATGACGATGGCGACGGCCGAGGAGGAGATCCCGAAGAGAAGGAAGTAGATCTTCCCCGCGATGTCCTGGCAGCCGATTGTCATCATCAGCTGCCCGAAGAAGAGCAGGAAGCCGGCAAGGATCTCGGACAGGAAGGTGGACTGGGCCAGGTGAGACAGCTGGCGGAGGAGGATCGTCTTCGTCTCGCTGAACTTGTCCAGCATCTTCGACTCACGCACCATCTCCTTCTTCTCAGCGAGCTCGAAGGCCTCCCGCACCCCGTTGATCCCCACCGACAGCCCGTACAGCGACATCCCCAGCTGCCCAACCGGCAGCATCCAGTTGGCCACTGTCTTGCAAGCGGTGGCGAAGGAGGAGAGGGCGGAGGTCTGCGTGAGCTGCTGGATGAAGCCGCTGAAGGCTGCGAGCTCATGACACAGCATCGACCACCACATAGTCGCTGTCGCGAACATGGCGAGAGGGCTCGTCAGGTCCGCCCGCACCCTCGGCTCCCATGCTTTCGTCACCACCCCGTCAAGCGCTGCCAGCAGGCGAACCATCTGCTCCAAGACGCTCTCACTGGGCCAATCGTGTGCCTGCACACGCGCCGTTGCTGCCCCTTCCTTGTCCTTCTCCCTCATGCTCAGCTCCTCCTCCCTCCCCTTCCCTTGCAGTGGAGCATCCAGGCTCGTCCGGTGCATCAGGAACGAGAGGACTGTGATAGCGTCCTCGACGAACTGCTCATCCTGGAAGTGCTCACCGACCAACATCTGGTTTCTCCTCCTCTGCCATCTGTTCCTGAGGCTCCACTTGAGGTACTGCTTCGACAGCGTGCTACTGCCTTCCTCCGTGGGCCTCTCTCCCTTGCTCCTTGGAACCTCCTTGGACTGGTTGACTCTCGTCCCTGCCAGTGCTCCAGCTGCCTTCGTCCCCATCAACTTTGGCATCTCCATCGTCGTCGTCGTCGTCGTCGTCGTCGTCGTCGCTACATCGGCACTGCTTTTGAGCCTCTGCATGGCCTCCCAAGCGTCGCTCTCTCCCATCAAACTCTCGTTAGGGAGCAGCATAGCCAGGAGGGAAGACTTCAACAGCTCCACGTCAGCTCTCGCGTCCTTGGCCTCTGCCTGATTCTCCTCCCTATCATCTGCTGCCCCCTTGAAGCCGAGCTCCACTATGGGAAGGACGATGGGGTAGAGCAAGAATGCCTGGAGTGCAAACTGAACTTGCTGTGGGAGGCCGGAACCTTGCAGGGCAGTCGCCAGGTCGTCAGCCCCGTCGATCATGACCAGAGGGCCCGAGTGTGAATCAGTGTTCACTCTTCTCATCCCCACGGTCCTCTGAGGATCTCCGACGAGCAGGTAGCGCAAGAAAGTGAACCAATGGGCTGGATTCAAGATGGAGCCCGGGGCCTTGACGAAGTAGGGCTCCTGAGCAGTCCGGTAGGCGTCTGCGGGAGAGTTGAAGACGTGCTTGCCCATCCTGTACATGTCATTCTCTAGCCTTTCGATCCGCAGCAAGTCTCTTCCTCCTCGTAACCGCAGCCCTCCTGGCTTGCTGCCGGGCTGTGGTCCAACTCGTAGGGCAGACTGGTCTGCAGCCTCGAATGGGAGGTTGTACAAGTTCAGCCCTCCAACGTTGTTCAAGCACAGCAATACGGTGAGATAGACAGATTGCTTGCAAAACATGCTCTTTGGGAGGATGAATATTGTGCTCATCCTAGTCTTTCACTGAGTGGTTTTGAGTTTGGTTGCTCCAAGAACAACAACTTGTTTCAGCGCATTTCGTTCCAGCCTTCACTTGAAGCCCCCTCCTTGGTACTCGCAGAGTGCATCCTTCTTCTTACTCTACCACCTCTCCTTTCCTCATGAGCTCTCTGCTCTCTGTATCCTGCTGAAGGAGGCGTTGTGACCCAGAAAAGTCCCTCCCGCATCTCCCTCTCAGCTCGCTCGTCTGCTCCGATCCGTTTTCACATCCTCCTCTCGGACACGTCATCTCCCAGCCATGATCGCTCCGGCCCTCCTCCTTCCCCTTCTTCCCGCTCACTTCCTTCCATCCTCGCTCTTCTCCATGTTCGCTCGCTCTCTCCTCCCATCCTACCTCTCCTTCCTCCTTACAAGTATTCGCTGACTCGCCTCAGAGTCGGGCACATTCTGTCAGCATCACTCTGGCACAGGCTCAGCTACTCAGAATGCCGCCGCCCGGGGGCCGGGCCGGCGGCGTCACGCCGTTGAAGTTCCGTGGCCACGGAACTTCAACGGCAACATGACCGGATGACAGTGAACCTTGGCAACACACCCACGCGGCAGCGCCGCCCGGCCGGGCCGACCGTCCGACTCCCCGGGCAGCCTGGCAGGCCCTCGGGCCGGCTCCGGCCAGGATCCGACTCCGGCCTCTGCAGTGCGTGACGGCCCTCAGACTGAGAGCGGTGGCCCGGCCAGGGCGATCATCAGCCTCGCAGTCACGGTGCCACATTGTAGTTTCCTTTATTGAATGATTGGCGAGTACGGTCAAAACTGGCTCTCAGCGATTCCATAGCGCTATGGTTTACTTGAACGCTGCCACCATCCCCCCGCGCCCGCTCTTCGCAAAGTTCGCCTGGCATCCGTAGCTGTGGCAAGTAACCGACCCGTGGCTGTCCCAGCCGTTGCCCGAGGTCACTCCCCTGCCTCCGTCCTTCCCGTAGCCGACTCCGATCCCGAGTCCCTGCCCCGTCATCAGCTACTCTCCTCCTCTCCCTCCTCCTGGCCTCCCTCACCGCTCCGAGCTTCGACATCTTCGCGCTCAGCTCGTCGGCACCAAGGTGCCCGATCTCGTCGAGGGATGGACCTCCGACAAGGCGGGAGCCATCGCAGTAGGACTGAGTGCACGACACGTGGACTCCGACGTCGTTGCTAGCAGCATTCCTGCACACGCCCATCAGGTCGTCATGGTCAGAGCAGGAGGAACAGCAGGGAGTCATTACCAGAGCATTGAAATAAGCATGATGAAGACGGAGACTGAGACAAGGGTGCAGCGTCAGATACTCAATCTTGAAGGTAGACCAGTCGCCAATCGCGTTTGCTTCGTAGCTAATGATCTCTCTCATAATGTTTTGACTCAGAAGGACAATACAGGGAATCGTTAACATCACGTTCGTCTCGTCAAGAGCTTTCTATCCTTAATGCCTGCCTTCTCTCTACTTATCTCTCCTTTTCTCTCGTGCTCCCTCCCCAACTCCCCCTTCCCCTTCCCCTTCCTCCCTGCTCAACGATCCTCCTCCTCCTCCTTCTCTTTCTTTCAATCCATACCCCAACCATCTACAACCGCCGTAGCCAACATCGCCCATGCTGTGTCGTGTACATTTTCAGCGAAGGGACAATCATAGAAAGACCCTCATTCAGCACACCAAACTTGGGTCCTCTGAGGCGGGTTTGCAAAAATACATGCAATGAGCGGGGATGGGGTCTACACACTTGCCCCTTCAGCGCAACCCAACCACCATCATGGTGCAGGGGGCGGGCAGGAGGGCAAGCAACGAGGAATCAAGGGAGGGTGCAGGGAGGGAGCAAGGGAGGGATCAAAGAAGGCAAGGAGGCAGATGGGGGGTGGGGGTATTATCCAAGATAGGAGGATAGGTATAGCTATCGTCTGGCCTCGCCTTCAGCAACCCAGCCTGGAACTTTCCTTTGGAACCTCCTTTACGATGCTCCCTTTCACGACCTATCTTTAAACTTTTATCCTCGTCAACATCCTTCGCTCGTGCTGCCCGTTACTAACGCCGCACCCTTGTCTCAGTCTCCTCTTCCTCCGTCTTCATCATGCTTCTTTCAATGCTCTGGTAATGACTCCCTGCCGTTCCTCCTGCCCTGACCATGACGACCTGATGGGCGTGTGCAGGAATGCTGCTAGCAACGACGTCGGAGTCCACGTGTCGTGCACTCAGTCCTACTGCGATGGCTCCCGCCTTGTCGGAGGTCCATCCCTCGACGAGATCGGGCACCTTGGTGCCGACGAGCTGAGCGCGAAGATGTCGAAGCTCGGAGCGGTGAGGGAGGCCAGGAGGAGGGAGAGGAGGAGAGTAGCTGATGACGGGGCAGGGACTCGGGATCGGAGTCGGCTACGGGAAGGACGGAGGCAGGGGAGTGACCTCGGGCAACGGCTGGGACAGCCACGGGTCGGTTACTTGCCACAGCTACGGATGCCAGGCGAACTTTGCGAAGAGCGGGCGCGGGGGGATGGTGGCAGCGTTCAAGTAAAGGAAGATGCTGCGAGTGGCTTTCGTGTTAACGATCTAGAGCAGAGCGTGATCGTCGTTCTATTTGAATAAACTATTACAGATCAGCCCCACAATGATTAGGTGATCGCACAGTCGGCAAACATGTTCGATGAAGCAATGCATCAGAAAGTCTTAATTTACTCCATCTCCTGAACGCCTTAGAAACACGAGGATACTGATGCAGAATTTCAAAAGAATTAGGCAGACTTAACGCTCTCCTCAGTCTTGGTGAAGAACGAGGTGATGAACTGGACAGCCTGGGACCAGACGGTGATAACACCCAAAATTGCGGCAACGCCCATGACAATAACCTGTAGGAAACAGGATGATCAACGACTCACAGGCACGTGCAGAGTTGTTGCAATCAACGTTATCAAAGACAAATACCTGAATGTGGAACATGGTGAGGAGCATTCCATGGTTCGTGGAGTAGAACTTGTCGCATTCATCTCCCATGTTGCTCCAGAGTACAATGCCAAGGATGCCAAACACGATGTACACGATCGGGCTGGGGAAGGAGAAGAACACGGAGGGAACCTCCCATCCGACGTTCTTCTTCAGGTCGATGGACTTCAAGACAGCCTCAACAGCAAACATGATGAAGCCCAAGGAAGTGGGGATGATGACGACGAGGAGAACGTACAACCACACCCATGACTGAGCCGCGCAAGGAGCATCCATGGCAGCAAAGTCAACGCAGACAGCGATGACGCCCATGACGAAGTAGGCAACGAACAGCAGAAGGAAGATGATCTGTTGATCAATGTAGGATCAGACAACAGAAAGCATCTTGACACAGGATAAACTGACCTGCACGAAGACAACATAGTTAGCAATGGCGTCTCCGGCTTCCTTGTTCCTTCGAATCACAGGTCACAGCTTGTTTTGCGCAACCGAAGGCATTTACATGTCCTTGATGACAGTGTGCATCTGACCAAACTTGATAGGGGAAAGCTGCTCGACAGGCTTGAGGATCTCGACGAGCTGTGCACTGCCTTCGTTGAAATCAGTCGGCATCTTGATCTCGGGCATGTTGAACTCCGGCATAGAAATGTCCGGAAGCTTCAGCTCCGGCATACCGCCCTGTTCCTTCTTCTCCTGTGGCAAAAATTGGGCATTCAAAAATTTGAAATTTCGGGAGAAATGTTCATGATGAAGCAGAGATGGAAACTAGGGATCACTACCCTTCCATTGCAATTTCAGGGATAATCTTGACTCACAAAACAAGATCGGTGATCATGTTCAGTCAGCAACATCAATCTGCATCCTCCATCCATAAGACATTCCCTGTTCTTTCTTCTCCCCGCTTCCCTGCTTCCATTCTCTGGCCTCCCTCCCCCCTCCCATTCCAGTTCAGCTTGGCTCAACTGCACCCACCTCGGCCATGTCGGCGGCGACTCTTCAGGTCAACACTGAAGGACCCACCCCTTTGATATAACTAACCTCTACCCACCCTGGAGACAAGCAAGACCACCCCACCATATCTGATACGTGTGTCGACTTTGAGGGGAAAGAATTACTGCACTACCCACCCCCAGATGCTTATAAAAAAGTCACGGCACCCACCACCCTGTTGAAGGCTTTCGTCGTCTGGGGTTCAATAAGGGTGGTGCGACTCTTCAGGTGAAGCTCATAACCAGCTTATCGCTTCAAAGCTGAGTACATGTCCTGCCGGGGCTGAGCCTGAGTTCCGGCGCGGTCTACCAGCGGCCCGGGCCCCGCGGCGGCCCGCCGGGCCGTCCGATCCGGGACTCAGCCGGCCCGGCCTACGGTAGTACTGCGGGCCGATCGCTGAGTCGGCCGGAGACTCCGAGGTTAGGCGCCTGCCACGGCCCGTTCACTAGTGCACCGTGATCGGACGGGCCGGTGCCGGGCCCGGCGGTCTCAGTGCAACAGGTGCCAAGAGGGTCACGGCCCCGGGGGCCGGGCGGAGGATAGCGTCTCTAGGAAGCGACGAGGGAGACGGAATCTCAGAGGAGGGGTAGTTTTGTTGGGATCTGTAGGGGTGGGGTGATCTACACCTGGCGTCGTAGACATAGAATGGCGGCAGCGGCCAAGAACTTTGGAAGCATGAAGCGACTGAGCAGCAGAACAATGTCATCGTGCTTTAGCTCCTCCCTCTGCTCCTCCTTCTGCTCCCTAAACACGACCTCTTTGCAACCTGTTGTTTTCTATTCCTCTCACCAAGAGCTTGTCCGCTCCCCACGAAGCCCAACGTCAGCACGCAGCCATCATACCACGGCGTACTATGATGGGTCCTCGCGAGGCCTGACTTCGGCATATGAGCGAAGGCTGAAAGGATCGGTTTCCAACCCGAACCGGCTCTATGTCAAATGGTCCTGGGGAGCTGTGAACGGAGCCAGGCATCGTCACGTCTCTCCTAACAAGTACAAGAGTATGTCTGACCGAACTCCGATGCCCCTGGAGATCGAACGAGCTCAGATCATAACCAAAGTCACGAGGTATCAGGACGAAGCAAGGTTGCGCGTCTCCTCTGATCCGAGGAAACACCATCCTGAACGTGGTTTGTGCAGTCGGATATGCGGAAAGCGATGGGCGGACATAACACAGCCCGAGCTCGACTTTGTCGACAAGACTCTGGACGAGGAGGTCGGATTACAACTTTGCTGATGGTTGAACGCAACTGACATGTCGTGGCAGGGTTTCAGTTCGGCTCTGGTGAAGAAGTCTCACAAAGTTCAAATGGACTCCTTGAACAAGATTACAACGACTCTCACGGATTTCGGCATCGAGTATACTATCTTGACCTCTGGTCCTTTAGACTGGATCACTGGCTGTCCTGCACTGACGGGTGATGAAGGTGAGAGCTTTACAAGCTCACTGGACGATCCGGATGATCCCAGTTCATCATCACGCACGAACAGCGCGTAAGTCCTGGGCCCTTGGCATGAAAGCAATGTTTGAATGTTTTCGGTAACCATCTGCTCTTCAGCAGGAGACAAGAGTTGTTAAACGGGAAGAAGTATGATATCCTGATATCAGCCGGTGGAGATGGAACGTTCCTACGCGCTGTAAGCATAAGGAGATCAACCAGAAGATGTTCTTGATGCTTGAAACACAGGCTTTGGAAAACAAATCTGCTTTGCCTCAGGTTTCTGCTTTGAAATCCTTTTGTTCTCTGACGTCAAAATGCAAAGATTGGGATCAACACAGACCCAACAAGGAGTAGAGGGTACTTTTTTTTGCTGAGAAGCATTTTGCAAGATTGTTCATTTCCATCACAGCAAACTCTGTGCTATGGATGCATCATCATTTGGAGTCGCACTTCAGCGCCTGAAGGAGGGGAAGTTCAGGTCGAATTCAAGTATGAAAGTTTTTGGTTCACGACTCTGGCAGATGGTTGAAACGAAATCGTTTGACTGTCAGATTATCCAAGGCCAACACTCTAGGATCATCAAGCGAAGACCTTCATACCATTGAAAACTTGGCTCTTAATGAGGTCAAGTCATTTTCCAGCTCCCATACCAGAGCCGTTGATTTTTTCCAGTTCATGAGCCCATTTTTCATCATAATTCAGCTTTTGATTCTGTCTGAAAGTTTTGGCAGGTATTTGTCGGTGAAAAAGATCCATGCCGGACCTCTATACTAAGAGTAAGCACAGAAAGTGACACAAGATAGAAGTTGATAGCCCCTGAAGGTCAGAGCCGACGATGATGCCTTTGAAAGCTACAAGTGCAGCGGGATTCTCATCAGGTAAGACTTGAGTCGCAGAATGACAGTGGATGATATGAATCTGCGACTAGCACTGGGACTGGAACAACCGCCTGGTCCTCGGAGGCTTCCAAGATCAACCCACAAGATGTGATTAGACTGTAATGGGTACCAGCACACGGTGACTGTCAGAAAAACAGGTGATTATGGTCCTGAGAGGAATAGAGAGGGTCTACAGCCAGATCAAACTAGACAACATCTTCAGCAACGGCTTTGTAACACTTATCTCCCGACCCTTCTCTCTTTGATCTTTCTCTCAGGATGCTGGCGCTGTTTCTTCAGCTGCCAACGAGGCTGCTTCCCACGACCTTCTCCCGCCAGACTCGGAGGAGATTCAGATGCTGGTGAGAATTCTTGCTGGCCTTCTTGCATGCTCAAGGAGAATGTGACGAAGGTGAGGGAGCCGATCATCAATCCAGGGCAGAACGAGAAGGGTCTCTGCATTTGGCAGGGGCAGAGTCCGAGCAAGGTAAGAGGAGGAGGAGGAGGAAGAGGAGGAACCAATCATGTCCCTCCAGGCAACTTTAGTGGGCGATGGGCAGGAAAACATTGACTATTCGTCGTTGAGAAGTGAGGAGGACGAACATAGTCGCTGTTCACTGACAACTGACGCTCTTTTGCCTCCAACTTCACAGGCATCTGTAAGCGCGTGACAGTTCACTCCGCTGGCAAAAACACAAAACTGGTACCCTCACACGCTTGCCTCTTGCAGATTCTATCCTTGCTATCCAGTTCCCTCCCCTCCCCTCCCCTCCCCTTCTGCAAGGTTGACAAGCACCTTTGAAGGTGCTGGACGGAAGGATCCATGTGCCGCTTGAGAGAGGATGGGAAGCAGAGATTTTTGTGGACCCAAAGAAGGCCCTCTGGTCTTTTGCATTCGATTGAGGAGGAAGAGAAACCGAGCCGCTGCTGCCATAGAGTTGGAAAATGGCATCTGAAAGAAAAGCTTGTGATACCATCGCACAGTATTCCATGAAACAAGTCAACCAACCAGATTGATTCCAGTTGTAACTTGGAGCGCACTAGTCAAGCTCTAGAAGCCTTCCTTCAAACATCACAACCTTGTGGCATCACAGCCTTTCCCTCACCTGCACACCTTCACAACGATGTGGGGGTAAACCCTATATTGTGCAGGCCCCATCAGTCATAGAGAACGACTCCTATCTCTCTCCCGTCTTTGAACAACTTGTCTCTCCTCGTTTGCTCTGCCACATCCTGCAGCCTTCGCAACCACTGCGCAAAGATCAGCCGAGAAGCCCCGAAGCTGCTCCCTCCCACCTGCGAGACTTGGGAGATGCTCCTCCTCACATTCATCGCTGCGATCGTGAGGGGCCGCTGAACTTGGCAGGCATCTCGCAAGAGAAGGTCGATGAGGGAATCGAAGGATACGGCAGCTGCTGCTCGAGGTCGCAGAGCCTCGTTCAGCTCACCCCAGGCGTCCTCGACGCTCCTCCAAGACCCTGGAGACTTCTGAGTGAGCAGGGAGACTTTCACCCTCCCAAACTCACTTGCATCCAATTCAAGCCGACGGCGGAAGAGAGCGCACCAAGCAAGAACAGGCTTGGAGGAGAATGACGGGTCTTGTTCCATGTCAAACCTCGTCTCAAAAATCTCTTCTGATGAAATTTCTCAGTCTATCACACGCACGTTTCCGTCTTATCACCCTGATCAAACGAGCGAGCAAACTGCATGCAGACTTGCTGCTTGGAGAACGATGGAACACCATCGGACGGCTCTCTGTTAATTGAAGTCATCATAGGTGAACTCCCCATCTCTTCCCCACCTGTTGTTGCCGCAAAGAAGGAACAATAGACCTCCGGGCTTTATCATCTTTCTCATCCCCTTGCAGTGCAGCTCGGTTAATCACGAAACAGTCAAAAGCTTCTCAACCACCTCAAGCTGCTCTGGAGATTCTAGAATGCTTGCAGCGCTGCCAGCATCCAGTACAACAACAAGGTCAAAGTCGCCGTTAAAGCTCTTTGTTTTCTGCTGGGGAACAGCAGGGGAAAGAGGTCTTGACTCGTCCCTTATTCGCTGCTCCAGAAGGATATGTTGCAGGATCAGAGTTTTGCACGAGGTGTGCTGGGCAGCGGCTGGTGTCAAGCCCTGCGCCTCTTGCTCTAACATTCTCATCACTACATCGGAATACTCCGCGAATCCTCCTGAGACGAATCTCTTCAATGCACGTTTAACGTCAAGAAAGGAGAAGGGTTCTTCTCGGGCAAGCCTCGAAAGCTCTCCTTTCACGAAGACACATCGTTCAATCAGGCCGGCAGAGGCTGCCCGGTGTTGCGCTCGGTAAACTATCTCCTCATCCGCGTCCAGTCCGACCTGATAGCGAGAGCATAAGCCTGTCGAAAGAACGGGAACCACATAGAGGAGGAAGGAGCAGGAGCAGGAGAGGACAGGGAGCAGAAGGAGCGAGCCGGAGAAGGAGAGGAGCATAAACCAAGTGTCTTGCACGCACCACATTGCATCGCAGCCGTGCGAGCCAAAGAGGCAACGGGCTCACGCCGGGAGAGATTTGCATGCAAGTCCAATCGGCAATCGAAGGTTTGCAACCCACCTGGAGGGAACAATCATCAGAGTTCCTGCAAAGAGTGTAGCTGAATGGGTGTACATGAAAGTGCTTGGAGAGCTTGCGAGCTGAAGTTTCCGACTTCCGTCGCTCCCACGCTCGCATAATGGACAAGTACCGCCTCCTCTGCGTCATTATCTGTTGGTTCACATCATTTTGGATCTCAGTCCTCCGCGTCTCGATCTGATCTCTCAGCTTCTGAACAAACATATCCTGCATGCTCTCGTGAAGGTCCGATATCTCCCTTTGGAACGCCGTGAACGTGGCAAGCTCCGCGTCCGCTATCAGGGCCTTCAAGCCTTCGTCGTCGGGGAGCCCTTTCATGGAATTGAGGAGCGCGTAGATATCACGGATCTACACGCGGTACCAGTGAGATGTTGGTGTACTACATCCAGTCTGAACTCACCTGATTCGCCAGGAGCCTTCGCATGCTCAGCTCCGCCCGCTCAAGTCTGCTCGCTCGCTCTTCTTCCCCTTCCTGGTCATCCTCGAACGCGACGTGCTGAAATGGACGATAAGACATGAAGATCGTGACAAAGAGACAAGTAGTTACGCAGTGGAAAGTTGGAGGCGGCAAGAACAGATGGGCGGTTTCATTCAGATCCTGACCGGTCTCGGCTTCACCTAACCTGTTGCTCTCTCCTCTCTCCTCCTCCTCCTCCTCCTCATGACCTTCATCATCATCTTCTTTCTCCTCATCCTCCCCCCTTGTCTTCGCCATCCTCATGCTAGCTACAGTCTCGACATATCTCCCCGCCGCTGCCGCCTCCAACTGCCGACAACCGCTCCCCACCGCCGTATGCATGCTGCCACAAACTATGTAACGGTCATAACAGTCAAACATGTTTGTTAACCGCTGTGTAACTGGTAATACAACGGACCAGGTAACCGTTACGGCTCTTCGCGCAATGGCGCGAGCTGAGGGAATGGTGTGGGCGGCGGCCGGGGGCGCGGGAGGGACTCTCCTCCTGCTGCTCTTGTTTGCGAGCAGTCACCTTGAATCTGCTGTACCTGGACGAGTGACGATGTACAGCAAGGGAAGGGCCCAGGTCAACGCTTCCTACATCCTACTTGCCCGCCCTGTGCTCACTTTGATTTGCAACAGTTGGCAAAGGCACGAATGCAGAGCCTGGCATACACTTTCACGCCGGAAGAGAACCCTCTAGAAGACTTTGATGCAGGATACAAGGCGCCTGCTTACTCGTATACCCCTGAGAAGAACCCTTTCGATAACTTCGAGGGCTATGGGTTTTCAACGTGAGGATCTAGGCAGCTCGTAACTTGATCGAACCCTGACACGTCTCTGCATGCAGCACCTCGCACTCGACTGGTGAGAGCCCATACCCTCCTACAAAGGCTGCGGATACAAAGAACGTCTGGGAAGACCTTCCAGACAAGTATCCCTTCGATGAGCGCAAGAACGGACTGAAGGTGGGCTGAACAGTCGTTTCTCTTGTTCCCTCACGCAGTTGGAATGTTAGGAGACGTTTCACAACTGGCAACATTTTGATTGGAAGGAATCTCCGGCGCAGGCCTTGAGAGAGGTGAGTGAAGGAGAGCAGGAGGTTCCTAGAGTGAAATGTGCTGCAGCCGAATGTCTGGGACGATCATTCAGACGCCAGCCAAGACAGCTCATGGCAGGTGTGTGTTTTCCTCTCCAGTGTTCTCCTCTCACCTCTGTGATCTGTTTGCTCACTGCGCTGAACTGCAGCTGGGCGACAAGATGACATTCAACTTCAAACACTACGAGGACGATTCCTTCGATCAGGTCTACCAACTTGCGTCTTCCTGCCTTTTGGTACTTGTCGCTCACGCTGCTTGCCTGCAGGACTCTTCGACGAAGGCACTGGGAGAGGTCAATGTGTGGGATAATGACAAGGTGAAGAGAGACAGCCATGTGAACGCAGGGCATGCCCTGACATTCCTCCGCAGTTGCACCCTGTTTCTGGGTACACCTGGGACAAGACGCCCAAGTCTGTGGTTGACGATTATAACGACCCCAAGAGCGGGACAGAACAGAATGTCCTGATGAACTACAAATACCCGGATTATTAAAGATGAGATTCGTTGGATCTATTCACAAGTTGTCCTGTACAGCAACAGGTTGGCGCGACCGCGAAATATACATCATCAACATTTGGAACACATTTCAACAAAGGCTTCAGTCTTGATCCTCTGGAGGAGGTGGTGGAATCTACACGACGACAAGTAAGAGACAACTCAGAGGGAACTGCACATCTAGATCGAAGGTAACGTGAAACAGTGATCGGACGTACCTGCTGGACCTGGGAGCCTGACAACAGGAGGGTGACCTGAGAAAGCTGGTTTTCGACAAAGATCTTCAGCTCTTCCGCATGAGCTTGTAGAGCTTCACGCAAAGGGAGTGAGCTGGGAGGGAGGAGACGAGAAGTGTAAGATAAGACCTTGCAACATCGACTCGGCGATCTGTTGCTTCAACCCTTCTAGGTCCGCTCCCTGTCCATCCCAGTGAGAAAAGACTTGGCACGATCATCCGAACAGTGCTGCACCTCAAGAGTCTTGACCTCATTCCTCTCCATATTCTTGATCTTCTCTCTGTGCTCTCGGACCTAGCTGGGCGTTCAGCACTGAGGGGAATCCTCTTTTCCCCTCCTCTCCTCCACCTCATTGACAGAAAGCTTGGGATCCCCGGATACGTCAGCGAATGATAGCAGCTCCTCCACAGTCTTGACTCCCATCCTATCCAGCGCCTTCTCGTCTCCCCTGCCCAGCAACTTCAGAATTCCTCCTTGCACATCCTCGCGCACAACCTGAACAGCAGTTGGAACTCTCGTTTCGTTAAGTTCTCACGATCGAAGACGCTGCGGACGTCGTAGATTCCGAACCTTCCCGAGTCCTTCTTTTCGTCCTGCATGGAGATGTTATGAACATGCAACGCAGATGTCGGAAGCGCATCACCATGCTCAAGAGCTCATCGACTGACTTCACCGTCAAGGTCTTCCAGAACTCCCTTGCTTTCTGACGCATGAGGCTTGTTCCAGTCACGAAGTTCTTCGACTTGTCTGCCAGGGACTCATGGACTTGATCATAAGTCTTCATGACCACGGCAAGGAACATGTTGAGCATGATAAACAGCAGAAAGATCACAAAGCTGATAAAGAGGATAGGAGTGACCGTCCTATGGACATTAGCAAGACTTTGATAATCTGATTGGCCAATGATGATCTGGAAGAGCGAGATCATGCTGTATTGGATGCTAGAAAAATCCTTGAGCTGCGAACCGTACGCGAGGGTGAAAGCCTTTGAGTAGCCCACATAGAAGATGAAGAGCAAGACCACAAAGGTCTTGAGATGCGACGCTGAACCAGCCAGGGTCCCCGTGAGCTCCCTCGTTCCAGGAGAAATGGCTTCCACGTAATTGAGCAGGCCTATCCAAGACAGCAAAGCACTGGCTCCAAACAGCAGGTTGTAGAAATCCTCTTGGTACATTACACTGAGCCACGGAAAATTGTTCGCCATGTCCCCTTGAGGCACCATGTCTCCTATTCTTGATATCTTGCTGTCAAGTGTAACTCGAATGAAGAGACCCCAGACGAAGAACGAGTACTTGACCATGCTGAGATAGTTCCACCCATCTCTGAAGAACGCGATCCCTCTCCTGAAGAGTTTGACAATATCGATGATCATCAACACCCCGAGCGCATACCCGTAGATACAAAGTTCCCAGATAATCCACAACTGAGACATTGACTGACGCAGGTCACTCACTCGTATCACATAGCTCGAATAGAAGCCTCCGGCTGCCGTCAACTCTATCAAGACTGTTGTGACACTGAAGAGGTTCCGAGCGGGGAAGAATACCGCAAAGTCCATGAACAATGCCCTTGTTGATTCATCGATAAATTCGTATTTCTTCAGATCCTGGACTTCAGCCAACATGTCCTCCGTGGTGCCATTCAGCCAAGCAACATATCCACCAGACGTGTACACGTTGAGGAGTGTTGCCTTGGAGTCTTCGACATAACAATCTGTGTAGCAGGGTGTGTACCTGTACCAACTCTTGCCTGAAGGCCAGTCGATTCTCAGCCCAGTTGGATCTTCAGTAGGCAGAGTCCCGCCCCCATCATGGGTCTCTTGGGTATCCACATCGAATGATGGATACATTGCAATCTTTACCCCGAGATTTGAGTTGGTGGTCTGTCGAACTCTCAGCTGCCGAATCCTGAAATAGTTCATCAGCACGTTCCCCCCTGTGACAAAAACCGATGGGTTTGGCTGGATTGTAAGGCAGCACAAGCTCTCTTGGTAAAGTGGACTAGACGGAGTCAGGCAGATCTGGTTCTTGCTCCTCCCGTCAGGCTCGCAGCGGGGATCCAGCTTCGTGAGGTTCGTCAAGGAGATCACCGGGACGATGACGTTCGAAAGGTAGGTGTAGATGTCATTGATATAAGCCATACTCGACAAAGAGTAGGTGGCAGGTACCCCGTAGCCCCCTGAGTTAGCTACGATGTTTTCCACGGCTGATTTGGTATCGTAGATAATTCTAGTCTGGGTATCGCCGTAGACGTAGATGAAGTAGACCGAGAAGATGATCAAGAAGATCAAGTAGACCGCTAGGCTGATCATGTCCCATTTGAAGGCCCCTTGAGCCTCCTTTCTCTGACGAACCTTGAACTCCAAGATCTGCTCCACTGCAATCTTCATCTGCTGGAACTCCTCAGCTTGTGGATCCTTCCGGGCATCCAGGTCCAATCTGCTCTCACTCCATGCCGATCCTGGCACGCTATACGGCCGCGCGTTCTTGTCCTGTCCTGGCAAGTACTCCACGTCGATGTCCTTAGCCTCCCCAAACCCCTTGCTTGCTACTTCATCGTTGATGAGGATGTCTAGCTTCTGACTTCCATTGGAAGTCCTCCTTCTACTTTGGGCTGTCAGAACTCCGTTCCTGTCTACCTTCAAGAAATCGTTCTGGGAGGCAGATTCTACCAGAGGAGGGGGCCCACCCTCACTTCGACGGCCAGTGTCTAGGTAGTCGTCTCCCTCCAGCGCCGGAGCATCGCGGAGTGACAGGGTTTCAATCTCTGCCTCCTCGTTGGAAAGGTCTGGAGGAACCTCACCAGGCACCATCGTGGCTTCCTCTTTCAACCCCTGCATGGTCTCGCGGTAGAGATTACACCTCTCGCATCTGCTCTGATCAAGATGGTTCCGTGAATTTCATCATCTATGAGGACGACGTCAGATTTTGTGGTGCATATTCCAAGCAATCCTTCCACTCCTTCCTTCCCCTCTTTCAATCATGATTCGCTCCTCTCCAACTCGTTTTTTGACCTCGTCTATTCTGGTCCCATGCCCTGGCTGCATGCTTGTTCCCTAGGCATGACCTCACTTTCCTCTCCCCCTTCCTCTATCCCTCTCCTTCCCCTTGGCCTCCTCTGTCCACCTTCTCCTCCTCCTCTTCGACATGCTCTCTGCTGATCTCCTCAACCATCTCGCCTTCTACTCCCCTGCCCCTACAGGCTACTCAGTCCTCACCTCACCCACGACAATGTCGGTTGTTTCGAGCCGTTACAATATCTAACGGTTGTACTGCAGTTACAGACGACAACTGCTTTGCAACGTGTATGTAACGGATTTCGAAGAGCCATTCTTTTTTCCTGCGGCGTCTCTTAAGAAGCACAAGGCCGACAATGGTGAGACATACGACAATGGGCAGAGGCGTTGCGCGCACGCTGCCTCTCCTGCTTCTTGTGATGGCATGAGATCTTTGATATGAACCTGTTAGAACTTTGTGCAGCTTGCTGTTCCTCTTTTCGTCACCCTTCCTCCCTGCCCATATGTTGTGTTTCCTGATCAAACGGCACCTTCGCATCGTCGCCTCTCATCTTCGAAGAAATCAAGATTGGCAGGATTCGACTGTCATCACTTCCTCCTGATATACTTAGTATTCCCACTCGAACATTCCTTCATGTTGCCTGTTGCTTCGAAGTGGCTCTCTGTTTGAATCCGCGATTGCAAGTGTTGCCACAGCACAATGTGAAAATTTGAATGCTGGCGTCAAACTGACGATGAAATTCCTGCAGTTCACTTCTCTTCACTGGAACGTTACTGGAACCCGCATCAACGTCAGCTCCCGTGGCTCCCAGCCATGGGCTGAGGGATCCCTCATCCCTGGCTCCAACTACTCTGCCCAGGTCCTTGAAGTGACAGGGTTGCGGTTGATGCTGACCAAGTTTGACAGGATGACCACGCTGGCCTCAAGATCGCAGGATTGTAAGTCGGTGAATTGGGTTAGGTTGTGCTCTATGACATCTCAGTTGCATTAAATCAGTACTGATCGTGAAGAATGAGTTGAACTTTTAACTGTTCGGGCGTTTTTGGTGTCCGCCACTGGACTGGCTGTGACTCGTCGATGTACAGCTTGTCACTGTGGGCAAACCTGCAGCTCTTCGTCGCCTCTTCCAGCTCATCCTACCGCTCACCCTCCTCGCCGAGGTTGACGAGTCTGCATCAAGTCTCCTTGTAGATTCCTTTCGCATGTACAGTGGGCTGCTAAACTTGGTCGCAAAGGCTGTGGAAGCAGCCGGGCTTGTAACAATCCTTCTCGTTTCCTTATCTTCGTCTCCTTCCCTCTTCCCGTAGAGAACGCTTCCTCCCAGCTTCACGGAGCTTCCCCCATAGAGGAAGGGACCTCCACGCCGCGGGTAACGGCACTCGCCTGGCGGTGAAGGCATGGACGAACCTCGTCGGTCACAACTTGGCACGGGGTGAACGTGGCGCCACGACTTGTTGACGATCTGAATGCAGATCGAGGGCAGTTAGCACAGGAGGCAAACCAACGTCCGTGGAGGGGATCCAGTATGTTTGTCGGGGCCCAAGTCTTCAAAGGGAAGACTCCCACAGCGCCAACACTGCCTTGAACACACACTACCCCTAGGTTATCCAAGTGAACTACCCATTCTCATGACACAGAGGTGAACTCACCTGACCGGCGGCCCCAAACTCGGAACTTCCTGCCCTCAATGTGGCAGGTCATCGCAAGCGACCACTCTAGAGCCTGCGGTCCCCGGCCGATCAATGAGCTCAGGGCTCGTGTCATGCCAAGATGGCCGGTCAGAGCGGACCTGGCTGCACTTACAACATGGTTTACTTTTCAAATGAACATCGATCCCGACTCTATCTATCAGCAACCCTGGCAGCATGCGAATGGGACCCGGACGAGCTCTGAACGACGCCATGTCCAACAGGTGTACAAGAGGAGCTGCTGGTACTGTGATCCCTATAGCTGCAGGTAAACAACATGATTATCATGTCGCCGATCATCGACAGCATCTCCCTCATGCACAACATCTTGCACTGCAGCAGGCATATTCTCGCAGTGGAAACAGACGATTGGAGTGCGTATTACTTCTACGCCAACCACGGCCGTCGAGTGACGACCATTGGGGGGTGTAGGTTGTATAGCCCCAAGGGAATAACCGGTATCGGCGTTTGGGACCAGATGTAGATGTACATCTTGAGATTCATAACCTGTAAAACTCGAGCATTTTGTTCGTTTATTTGTGTTGAGGTTACAGAAGCGGGCGTTGTAATGATCACATCATACTCAACCTTGTACATTCTGCAATGCCTTGTTGAGCTCCTCGATCTCCTTCTGTTGGCGCATAACAGTGAGGATTGCACTCCTGACAAACAAGCTCGAACCTGCATCTCGGATATACTTTCAATCTTCTTCTTCTGATCGGCATTCAACTCCTTCCCTGACTTCTCGTCTTCCCTCAATGCCTCAGCCTTTGGAAAGTTCGTCACATCGGTGAGCAGACATCAACCTCAACCAACTCACCTGCTTGATCTTCTTATTCACAGCTTTGATTCTCTTGTTGATCTCTTCCTCATTGGTGTAACTCTTCGGTCCATCATCTTGCTTAGCGTTCTGGTTTGGCACACTGTCGATCCCTGCAGCAGCAAGCGCCTTCTGCGTCTCAGCAAGAGCTTGTGCTGCCTCCTGTTCTCGCTGAGCCTTCTCCTTGGCCTTCTTCTTCTTCATGGCAGACTTGCTGATCTGATGCTCGTCCTCATAGGCGCCAGGAGGAAGCTGCCGACCCAGCGCTGAGGTGTTGCCGCCGACCTTGGACGCTTGCTCGTAGTCATGCAGGGAGAACGTCGGCCTGGCATTCCCTGCGTTGTCCTTCCCTCGCAGATGGGGAGGGACGTAAGCCTTGGGTGCCGCAGGCTCGTTGCTCGAGGTCGAGGTTGCAGACTTGCCCCCAGCCCCCGGGCTTGCAGGTCGATCAGGGAACGTTCCAGCCTTGCTGGGTCTCCAGGAGATCTGGTAGAGTTGATGAGGAAGCTTCTCCTGGTGAACGCTAGTGCCGTCATACTTGAAGATCGTGAAGCCGTTGTCCACCCTCAGTCTTGGGAACAGCGTTGCTGTGAGGAAATACCGCGAACAGGGAGACCAGGACCAGTTGGTCGTGCCAGGTGCCTTCACATTCGCTATCAACTTCTTCCTGTTGTTGTCCCAAAACTCCAGATTTCCAGAGATGTTTCCAAATCCTCCAAGGAGCAAGAATCTACCGTGAGGTGCCCAGGATATCGTGTTCCTCGAGCCGGTGCCAAAGTCGAAAATGGCCTTGCACTTCTCATCGAAGAGAGTGGCCTTGGCTGGCATGAATCCGTAGACTACGACGAATTCCTTTCCTGACGGGCTCCAGGCTACATCATGGATGGGCCCCTCCTTGGACAGAGCCACATTGCCCTCCGTTCTCCCGTCAGCCGAGAAGAAGGTAAGCTTGGACTCCCCGTAGTAGCTCTTCCCGGTGGAGTCGACATCCGTGCTCGTGCGGATCACAACGGCTGTCCCTGTTGGGCTCCACAGGAAGGAAGCATCGTTTGCTCGAAACATCTTCTTGGTGGCCACGGGCTCGGTCACATTGGGATAGGAGAAAAGCTTCATGGTTGCAGGCTGGTCCTTGACTTCCGGAACGAACGTGGCGATCTTGTAAGGCAGAGGGCCGGGTGCAACGCTGAAGGCGCTCAGCTTCTCTTGCTCGATCTTAGCAAGCACGCCCTTCTTGATGTCCTTGCCGTTGTAAAGGTGCACTCCATTGGTGATCTGCATGCAGGCAATCAACTCGTCCGACGTCCACTTGAGGTAAGGCCAACTCTCCTTGCTGAAATTCTTCTGGCTGAATGCTGAGAGCTCAGCGCCACTCTTGCTGTCCCACACACGGAGGTTCCCCCCACTCTTCTGCAGGTCATCAGTTAGCCTCTCCCACGTCAGCAGGAAACTGCCCAAGGGAGAGAATGAGGCAACAGCAGCACTCGACTTGATCCTGCACTGCTCCTTTCCGCTGATCGTGTCGTACACCACCACCACGGCATTGTCAGAATCGATCGCAGCGACGAGTGACCCATCGGGAGAGTACTCGACGTCAATCTTCGCGTGACACAGGGCAAAGGACTGTGCGGCATTGTAGTCGTACTGGTAGCTTGCGGTGGAGGGACCTGCCTTGAGCTTCAATCCCTGCTCGTCTCGGAGCAGGAGCTGATGTGTCTTGGGGTCCATGGCGTGCGGGTAGGAGAAGGTAACTCAGCAACAGGCGGGTGGCGGCGGAAGAGGAGGAGCGGTAGGTGCGCCGGTTCCCTCAGATCGGGGACATAGCACGTGGCGGGGAAGTTGCCCTAACAAACCAGTGGTCATCTCTTGGGGATAAGGGGGGGTAGGGGTGGTCATCTCATAAAGGACAGTAAATGAGGCAGGCCCGGAAAAAAGGTTAGTTGGTCGGAGCGGAGATGAGGGCCTCCTGGTTTTCGAATCGCCTACACGCCTGTGGGCCATGGTGGCAGCATCGGATGCGAGAGGGAGGAGGGGGAGGACGGTGCTACCTTGCTGGAGAGGTCAAGAGGACTGAGATCTCCGATATCACATGGTCATGGGCAAGCAACAGGAGGGCCTCCCTGGCTCTGATCCAGGAAGGATGAAGTGTGCAGACATCGCTCTTTGTAGGGCCGAGCGAGCACCCTTGGCGGTCATTTCATCCAATGAGATGAACCAGTTGGTAGGATGCGCGGATGAGCAAAAAGATTCCCTCTACATACGCTCTCGCAAGCCTGCGACTCGCAAGCCTGCCATGAAAGTTGCCGTGGATAAGTGTTTGAAATACACCAAGAGCGCCACGGCAAAGGAGGAGAACGGGTCGCAAGTACACACTGCCACGCCAGTGAGAGAAGAGCAAGCTTCGAGGTTTTGTTTCCAGCCCGTCTCTCTTCAGTCTGATAAAGTTTTTTATTGCAGGTCAAAGGAAACGAGCAAAGCAGAGTCCCTGAGGCATCGCGACCTTGGTGGCCAGCCGTTTGCAGGTCAAGGCAGTTTGATATCCGAGGGTGGGAAGAGAGAGGTCAGCAAGGCTATGCACTGGATACAAACGCAGATATCGAGTATGAACGAGAGCCTGGGGGCATGGGAGACGACGATGCTGAACCCAGACACGTCGGAAGAGATCTTGTCAACCCCATTCGATCTGCGACAACTGAGCTTTGTGTGCAATACGCCATCGGTGCGATTGTACCGCATCTCAGGCGGATCGTCCGCGGACTTTGTCTGTGGGCACTCAAACGGAAAGGAGGACGCGCAGCATGAGATTCAAGATTTCTGCAGGTAGGCCGCCAGGTTGACCGATGCTCGCTGACGGCACTTGTTTGTCACTTTGCCTCAGTGCGAGGGCAGCTTGCATGTCAGGAAGCTCCTGTCCCAGCACCTGTATGGAATCGCGGACTTTGATGTACGTGCCTTGTATGCAAACAAACGGAGAAGAGCAGGATGGTGAGAACTGTTATCTTGATCTGCTCCCTTGATGTCCATGTGCGACAGACTCTGAGTATGTGCTGGAGTTTGAGTTTGACGAGAGTGCCGAAATCACGGTAGGAATGAAAAGTTTGGGGGGGGGGGGGGGGGGCGACGACGACGACGACGACGAGGAGGGTTGTTTGAGATCAGCCACAGGGAGATCAACTGTGTGCGATGGAGGCTTGCGCTGCAGCGATGTCTTCACTTTACGTCTTGAGACGCCGACTGCGAGCTGTGTTGGACGAAGGAAGGGCCTTGCACCTTCGTGAGAAGAGGAGGAATGCTTCAGTAGCGGCTGAGAGGGCAGCGAGAGAGAAAGACGTGTCTGAGCTGCTTCAGACCGCGTTGGAGCTGCAGGTCTGCCGCCCATGGATGCTGACGAACTTGGTGGGATGACGGGGGGACGTTGGCAGAACGAGAACAACAAGCTGAGAGATGAGAGTGCGGCTCAGTTGAGCAAGGTGAGGGCTGAGGAGGAGGAAGGTGGAGGAGTGAGAGAGATCCAGATCAAGAAGCTGCAGAGGATGAACCACTACATGACTTCCAGCATGTTGAACAGCGAGTGAGACTTGACGTGTCCCTGATAGTGCCAGCGGTTCTGATTGATGTCCATAGCAGCGATGTTCCTGTCTCCGGCGGCAAGAAGGGAATGCTGAGATCGATGGTGAGAGGAAGAAGAGCTTCAGTTGTTGTGCTGACGTGTCAGCAGAAGACGTTCAGGTCTCCTTCGGAGGAAGAGCTGATGAGAGAGAACGACAAGTTGCGAGTGAAGGTGGGAGGAGAAGGAGGAGGAGGAGGAGGAGGAAGGGAGAGGGGGAAAGGGAGGGACGAGGTGGTGTTGACGATGGGAATGATGGCCCGCCTCGATATGCAGAACCTGCAGCTCCAGAACGAGCTCTTTGAAGGGAGCAGAGTGCTTGACATGCTGCGATTTTACGTCGAAGAAGGGAAGAGAAGGTGAGATTGCGATAACAATGGTTGTGATGAGAGTAGATGTTGGTGATGGTAAATATGATGATGATGATGTGAGAAGAGATAAGAATGGTGGTAGATAAGAATGGTTGTGATGAAGTCGGAAGGGTGTCGACCATCATGACATGGTTATGACGTGTTATGTACGCAGGAAGCATGGAGCCAAGTGTTCACATGGTGACAATATCTCTGTCGGAGGTTTGGTAAACTCACATGTTCATCTCTTCAGCTCCTCGACCTGCAGACTTGGAGGAGGTCACAGTCGAAGATGCAAACCTGATCAACAGAATCAAAGGCGATGACGGCAAACTTGAGTCCATTCAGAGCTCATCGATGTTGTCAAGTCAATCTGGCATGCTTGTCGTGGGCTCGCAGAGGGATCAAATTGCAGATGAAGGTGCAGTTGTCAACTGCGACAATTATGAGGAGAAAGATGGGCAGAGCAGCTCGATGATGGCGAGAACGACAGCGGCAGGACAAGCTGGTTGTAATTCAAACTCGGAAGGAGGCAGGAGAACAGGCGATGCTTCTGTTGACATCGCGCTTGTCAAACGAGATGTCAGACTGCTGCTCAGTGAGGTCAAGTGCCTGAAAGGCGAGGCAGAGACGATCGCTAACGCCAACAATCAAGTCCTTGAAAGCATGCTTGATCATGTGAAGAGCTTGCTGTGCAAGCAGATGGAGGAGGAGAGAAGCTTCGACGAGGGCATGAGAGCCCTCGGAGCTGGCTTGTCTTGCTTCTCCTCACAGCTGCTCGACATCGATGATCGCCTTTCCTCCTTGGTTGACCTGCTGGCAAACTTCTCTTTGAGCAGACAGGAGGATCCGATCCGCATCAGACGGCTAGAGAAACAGCTGGAAGAGGAGCGGAGGCGGGGAGGAGAGCTGACAGGCGAGCTGGAGGAGGAGCGGAGGCGGGGAGGAGAGCTGGCAGGCGAGCTGGAGGAGGAGCGGAGGCGGGGAGGAGAGCTGGCAGGCGAGCTGGCAGGCGAGCTGGAGGAGGAGCGGAGGCGGGGAGGAGAGCTGGCAGGGCAGCTGGAGGAGGAGCGGAGGCGGGGAGGAGAGCTGGCAGGGCAGCTGGAGGAGGAGCGGAGGCGGGGAGGAGAGCTGGCAGGGCAGCTGGAGGAGGAGCGGAGGCGGGGAGGAGAGCTGGCAGGGCAGCTGGAGGAGGAGCGGAGGCGGGGAGGAGAGCTGGCAGGGCAGCTGGAGGAGGAGCGGAGGCGGGGAGGAGAGCTGGCAGGGCAGCTGGAGGAGGAGCGGAGGCGGGGAGGAGAGCTGGCAGGCGAGCTGGAGGAGGAGCGGAGGCGGGGAGGAGAGCTGGCAGGGCAGCTGGAGGAGGAGCGGAGGCGGGGAGAGTGTTTGCGATGGACGATGGGAGCAAGGATTCAGTGTCTGGAGGAGACAGCAGGCAGTTTGTGCTCGGAAGTGTCGAGGTGTGTCCAAGAGGTTGAAGAGGTGATGGTGATGGAGGGAGTGTTGCTGCGAGACATGCGATGGAACTTGTTGACTTGTCGGGAGTTGGCAGACAAGTTGGACAAGTCGATCAAGATAGCAAAGATCCTGAGGGATGAGGGAGAAAACTTGGAGAGTGAGGTCAAGGAGATGACGAGAGGGTTTGAAAGGAGCCTGCGCATACAGGTTGCAGCAGAGGCGAAATACAGGCTGATGAAGATGGAGAATTCGGTCTCATTCGAGCGATTCAGTTCGATGATGTTGAGCGTGAGCGTGATAGAGGAGCTGCTGCTGCTGCTGCAGTCGAGGAGCGCTGAGGCGAAAGGAGAGAAAGAACGAATCATGGGAAGATCTGAGCCTGGATGGGAGGAGGAGGAGGAGGAGGAGGAGGAGGAGGAGGAGGAGGAGGAGGAAGCAGACCTTGCCTCTTCAGGAACTCCAAGCGCCTCGAGATCAACGAAGGTGACAATAGAGCCAACAAGTGCAGGAGCAGGAGCAGGAGCAGGAGCAGGAGCAGGAGGACAGGGACACAAGACGGAGGGGCCGACGGCTGAGCGTGTCGTTAGTCCATCGACCGAGGACGGAGGAGGAGGTGGGGGTAAAATCCCTGGTGACGTCATCAGCGTGATCAGGCAGACGGAGCGGACGTGTGCAACGCTGGAGGCCCTTCATGCCGGGATCGTCTGCTTGACGTCAGGGAGGCTGGCGAGCTATGAGGAGAGGTACAGGAAAGTGTTCAGAGAGCTGGAGGTCGACGTCCTTGCGGAGCTGAACAGCGTCAAGAACAAGTTCCACAAGCTGAGGAGGCTCAACACGAACCTGATCTTGACGAATAGGCTGCTCCAGGTGTTCTGCTCCTCCTGCTCCTCCTGCTGCCTCCCTCTCTCCTCCCAGCTGATCTCCTCCTCTGTATCTCGTCCTGTCCTCCCTCAGTCTTCATTGCTCCCTCTCCCTCCCTCTCTTCCTCTCCCGCCCTCTCACCTCGCTCTCCCATCTCCCCTTCTCCTTCTTCTCCCCCTCTCCTGCTCTGATCCACTCACTCTCAACCTCCTCCAGCAAGAGAAGGAAACCTCCAGGTCTCTCTTCCTCCTCGCGCGCTTCCTGTCCTGGAAGGCTGCAGCATCTTCCGAGCAGCTGCGGAGGAAGGCGAAGGAGCTCGAGAGAGCAGAGCAGGAACAGGTCAGGGCGACGGAGGAGTGGGAGGAGGCGGAGAGAAGAGTCAGAGAGGAGAAGGAGAGAGGAAACAAGCTTGAGCAACAGATCATCTCACTCAAGGTCCTCTCTCCACATTCCTCCTCCTCCTCCTCCTCCTCCTCCTCATGTTCCTCCTCCTCCTCATGTTCCTCCTCCTCCTCACTTCTGCCTCCCCCACCTTCTTCCCCTCCCCCTTCTTCCTCTTGCCTTCAACCCCTCTGACTCTCCTCCACTGAGCAGCAAGATCAGCTTTGGGCTGAGCGCTACATCGCAGAGGAGCTGCGGGAGGCGCTGAGCAGGACAAGGAAGGGGAGAGCGGCAGTGAGCGAGATGATGGAGGAGGAGCAGGAGGAGGAGCAGGAGGAGAACACGACGAGCTGAGAGGAGGAGGAAGAGAAAGAGCGAGGAGGAGGAGGAGGAGGAGGAGTAAGGGTAACCTTAATATGCAAATGTCCATGTCAAACAATATAACTTTTCATTCAGGAATTATGGTGTTCTTCTCCCCTCTCAATACC